GGGGCAGAATTGGAGAGTGAAAATTGGAGGGGGGATTGAGAGAAGGGAGGTTGTAAATAGGAGAATGATAAAGAGAGAAAAAAGAGGGGAGGGATTAGAAAAGAGAGAAATGGGAGGTTGGGCAGAAGAATAAAGAGAATAGGGTGGGGGAATAACAAGGGGAGATGATGCAAGTAATGGAAGTAAAAATGTTTCTCATAGAAGAAAGGGCAAAATAAAAGAATAGGGGGGGGGGGGGGAAAATGAGAGTGGAAAGGGGGGCTAGTAGTGAGTAGACAAATAATTGTGTGGGGGGAAAAGTTGGGAAGGGCAGGGTGGGAGGAAGTTACAGCTACTTACTGTAACAGCTTCTGTTCTAAAGTCATCTGTGCTATCAATACTACATAACTCAATCAACACAGGACAGATTTGATGCTCAACATCAACTAAATGAATAAGGAAACATATCATGTAATACTTTCCTAGAAATTGCAAACAGAAAATTACAATAATGGACAGCAACAGTTACTTCGTTCTATGACTTCTTGTTCCAACAGCAGCAGCAATGCCGCCTGGCTTGTTTTCCGCACCTGAATTTTGTGGAGAAAATGAAACTTGGCAAATGTTTACTATCTGTGAAAGCATGAAATTACTGCTACTGTATATACTGACATGGTTTGTGTCTAACTACCTGGTAGTTCAGATAGCTCAGACACAAACCTTGCAGCAGCTCGCTGTATGTACAGTATCTGTTACCTGGTTGTTTGGATCAGTGAGATATCGGACAACAACAGGCAAAATGTATTGTGGGATAGCAAAATGTAATCCACGATGTTCAACACATAGGACGGCAACATGGGGTATTTGCTCCATGACTTCAATACGGACTGCCGCTTCTGTCAAATTGCAACATAAAATAGAAACTTAGCATTCAAATTTCACTCATCAAAATGAAAATTTTGCTCATGGGATGTTGGGGTGTTCTTGTTTCAGTGGTTAGTGCATGTCTTTCACCTCTATGAGAGGGGTTTGATTCAGATAATATACAGTTGTCTGATAATTTCCTTCAAGTTTGACAGTATGAAACACAGCAGGTTTTCTCTGGGTTCTTGGTCGATGTAGTAACACTGGATCAATAAGGAATGGTCCTTATCAGCAAATCACTTTGTCCAGTCTGAATAGTTATTTTTTATTTGCTATAAATGGGCTAACACAAATAACACAATAAGCAAGTGACACCTTTCACACACACACACATATCAGAACAGATCAGTGGAGTCACCTTGGTAAAGTTACGTTTATACGCTGCGATTAATCGTTTTACGATTTGTTTTCTGGCGTATGTCATTGAGTAAACACGCATAAGCTGGCTACATTTGAAATTTCTTTTTAACGAAACGGCAATGAATTATGGCGCCAGCACTCATTTTAATACGCCAGAATACGAATCGTACACGATTAATTGTAGCGTGTAAACATAGCTTAATATGTCATAACCATCTTGTCCTGCTTTTTTGAATGGGTCATTCCAGAAGAGATTCACCCTGCCCCCAAGGAGGAAATTTCTGCGTTCAAAGTGGGAGGGAAGTTTGTTTCTGATAATAGTAAGTGAATTAGGACATCTGAACGGGGTAGGGGAATTACCTTCCAATTTCCTCCTTTGGGGAAATATGAATGTATTTATGGATGTCTAAACAGTTTATTGAGAAAAATTGGGAATGCAATCATGCAAACCCATTAATGATGAAGTGTTGTAATGGCTACAGTGTCAACCATTTAATACCATTTATACTATAAAGTCTATATACAGCCTAGTTATGCCAAATGCTGAAATGTCCATATACAGTAAGTACATGTACAAAACATTATAAATTACAAAATAAATCTGTATGATGAATGTACTGTAAATGCTATGGCCTGTTTGTCATGTAAAAATCCAATAATAATGTATGTGGAAATGTCATTTTTTATTCCAATTGTCTTTAATAGCTGATCTATGAGGTGCAGAAGATGGTGGTCAATTTTGACATTGATACACAGGATAAAATTAGGACAAATCTATAAGTCTATTTACTAGCACTAAATACAAGGCTATTACTACATATAACAAAAAATTTAAACCATTCCCTTGCTCTGATAATTGCCAGTCGACTACCATTTGCCAGGACAATTATCACTTATTTACTGAGACAGAGGGAAACAGTGTGTTTTGTGGACCCAAGACCGTCGATGTTGTGGACCCGAGACCGTCGATGAACATCGACGGTCGAGTCAAAGAATACAACGAATTAAAGAACAAATGAACGTAAATACATGAAATATTTTATTGTTAAAACGTTATATTAAACACTGGCTACACTGCAGTTACTTAAAGCGAAAGTTTTAATTATGTACTAGGCATGTCCAAAGGTCGCATCTTCACATGATGGCGCACGTGATTTTTTTTTGTTATTCGCCGGTCGATAACATATTATCTCCCTCTCGCGCTGTTGCGAGGGAGACAGCCTAATTTCGTCACTCTCACGTGATATGCTCTCAACCAATAAAACACTAGAAAATGCGACTTTGACTATTGATATATAATAATAGTGTTTAGTAAACCCACCTGCGTCTACCCACAACAAACCATTTAAAATTTACTGCCCACACATTGAGCACTTGACACTGCATACCATTGTGAGTTCAAACATTGAACACTTAACTATTTGTCTTTTATATAAGTGGATATAAACCAACTTCAAAGAACACGAGACGACAGCTGATATACAGCATATGATGTACAGCATATGATACATGCAGAAATTTTCCATGACAAATACAAATCTATCAATATTAAATTAAATATGACAAACTGTAAAGTGTCAGCACAATATAACACCATATACCTAAAACTAATTGAATTACAGTATCTTCAATTTCCCTTTAATACAATCAATAATTTTAGTTGGATTAACACCTTCCTAAAACTACAAGCAATAAAACTCGGAAACATACTTCAAATATTTTTTTGTGGCATTTCCTTCCGTTCATGTCGAGGTTCATGTGTATATAAATTTCAGGAAATGTAGGAGTCAACGAGAATGTGTAATTTACAGTTGTTTTAAGCACAATAAAGAAACAAAACTATCGTAAAAGGTACGCCAAATACTCACCAATGTCGTCGGAAAGACGAACCATCAGTTGTAACACTTGATAGCATTCGTCGTCGGACTTTACTGAGCGTAAACACTCCAAAACGCATCGCGCTGCCATTCGCCTGTAAGAAAATAAAAAAGAAATCAGCTTTGATTTTGGGTTAAAACTTTAAAATCCTGCATCGATTTCTGGTTACAAAGCTGGCAGCAAATGCAGCTTGTACGCTAAAATATCAGATTAAAAACACCAACGACGCGTTCTACACTTTTGAATATGGTTACACGTCCACACAAGTTTATACCTGTTAAAAATGATTTCGCTGTTCAGATAGCGATCCATTTTTGTCAAAGGCGAGACAAACTCTTCTGGAATTTCTTGATCCAACATCGAGTTATCGTCCGATGCGCCGTCCAGCCCGTCTGTGGTAAAATAAAACGAAAATATAAACTCTTGCGCAAGGTTTAATAACCAAACAAATAGTGTGTCGAACAACGTACGAATTAAAATGCTCTTGCTTTATATGTAATTTACATTTTAGCACCCAATCTACAATGTACAGCATTAGTTTAGAGTCTTAACTCCGAAATTTGCAATCTTAATGAGCCGTAAATGTTAAAGAAACTACTGTGTTTTAACAATTAAATGTCACACTCGACCGGCGTACACGTCGAAAAGCTACTACGCTGTTATAGAGACATTCAACTCCTCTGCAAATAAGCCATAGGTCGCTTCAAACATACCTTCTTCCTGTTCGTCCTCGGCGTTATCGTAGTCGTCCACAAGAAATCTGATGTCTAAACGAGACGAGTTCGTTTATAAACTGTTCAAATCGTAAAAATTTTCAATCATTTTTCTCATACTTACCCGCCATCTTGGTATTTTGGCTTCCCTTCGGATCAGACCGCAAGCACGTGACTTCCGGCACGCAGATCATGCAGTCGAGGAATGGGACGGGATTTACAACGTAAATTACGTCATTAGCTTTAGCCAATAAGAATAAAGGAAGAATGTATACTCCTTCGGTACTCTTTTGCACCTACTTTTATGCGAAAAAGGTATTGTTACTTATATCTCATAAAGCAGATTTACACTATACAATTTTGCCTAAAACTGTCGCATTCAATCTGCTTACAACTCGAACTGAACTGTGTAAACCAAAAAAAAATCTCACATCTTGTAGCAAGTCTACCAACAACCCGTCAACAAGTTGAATAATTCGCACTGTTTGTTCCTAGTTGTCAACAAGTTTGGAACAAGCTTTTGCAAGGTTGTTCCAACAAGTCCGATACAGTCATAATATAACAATATTGTTACAACCTTGCGTCGTCGACCTTGTAACATTAGACAGATTTAGATCGAGGACGCGAACGTCAAAGACGACGTGAAAATGGCGTCAATATGGCGTGGCATATCCATACATGGGCACAACACGTCATTTTCACGTCGTCTTTGACGTCCACGTCCTCGATCTAAATCTGTCTATTCTTGTTATATTATGACTGTATCAGACTTGTTGGAACAACCTTGTAACAAGTCTGATAATTCCACACCAAACTTGTTACAACAACTAGGAACAAGCAGTGCGAACACAACTTGTAAACAGCTTTGTATAACAAGAATGTTACAAGGATGACGACACAAGGTTGTAACAGTATTGTTATAACACGACTGTATCAGACTTGTTGGAACAACCTTGTAACACGTCTGATAATACCATCAAGCTTGTTACACGTTGTTAACAGCTTCATGTTCCAAACTTGTTACAACAACTACACACGTAAAAATCTCACAACTTGTCAACAAGATGTGTTCGCAACAGGTTTGTAGCAAGCTTGTCAACAAGTTGTAACAATGCTGTTATTTCATCAAGTTGCTACAAGGTTATCACTCACAACTTGTTGACAAATTGTTGAATTGCAGGACGATAACAAGTTGTTGGAACAACTTGTAACACGTCTGTTGAGCTCAACAACCTTGTAGCAACTTGTAAACAAGCCGTTGACAACTTGTCAACAAGCTGGGAACAAGCAGTGCGAACACATCCTGTTGACAAGTTGTTGGAACAGCATTGCTACAAGTCTGCTGCAGGTTTGTTACAACTTGTGCGTTTTTACGTGTGTAGGAACAAGCAGTGCGAACACAACTTGTCAACAGCTTGTGAACAGATTTGTAACAACTTGTGTGTTTTTATGTGTGTACGTTGTCGCACACGCGTATAAGTCTCGCATCTTGTAGCAATATTAAGTCTGCCGACAAGCCGTCAACAGGTTGTGTTCGAACTGTTTGTCCCAGGTTGTCAACAAGTTTGGAACAAGCTGTTAACAACTTGTAACAAGCCTGATGGCATTATCAGACTTGTTGCAAGGTTGTTCCAACATGTCAGACACAGTCATGATATAACAATACTGTTACAAGCTTATGTCGTCAACCTTGTAACATCCTTGTTATATCATGGCTGTATCAGACTTGTTAGAAACAACCTTGTAACAAGTCTGGTAATGCCATCAAGCTTGTTACAAGTTGTTAACAGCTTGTTCCAAACTTGTTGACAACTTGGGACAAGCAGTGCGAACACAACTTATTGACAGACTTGCTACAAGATGTGAAGTTTTTGCAAAAGCCTCTCATCTTGTAGCAAGTCCGTCAACAAGCCGTCAACAAGATGTTTTTGCACTGCTTGCCCCAAGTTGTCGACAAGTTTGGAACAAGCTTAGCTGTTAACAACTTGTAACAAACGTGCTGGCATTATGGCTTGTCCAACACGTCCGATACAGTCATGATATAAAATACTGTTAAAACCTTGTGTCAACCTTGTAACATTTTTGTTATGTTATGACTGTATCAAACTTGTTAGAACAACCTTGTAACAAGTCTGATAATGCAATCAAGGTGTTACAAGTTGTTAACAGCTTGTTACAAACTTGTTGACAACAACTGGGAACAAGCAGTGCGAACACAACTTGTCGACAGCTTGTTTGCAGACATGTAACAACTTGTGCGTTTTTTACGTGTATATATTGTCATTTTAACGGCGCAGTCAGAGACACAACAGATTAATCACAGTTTTCACAAAATTATAAACATCTTTATTTTCTATATCAACTTTTGGATTATATGTTAGTTTAAGTCCATACCAGGGTCGTGCAAATGTAAACCTTGAAGCTAACTGAGGATTTTTACATCAAATTTATTAAACATAGAAAATAGAAATTCAGGGATTCTAACCCTCCTCTTGCTTGGAAATAAAACATTCACATTATATTTGCTTACGTGAGCACGGCCATTCCTATAAGTTTTGTGCAATAATTGTGATGTACAAAAATATAGATTAACTCAACAAAACCTAAATGCACATTATCATATCAGTGTAAAATCATTTGTCTTGTGATGGTCGTTTCAGGTTAAATATTGTGCAGAATAATTGTTCAAACTTTGTTATAGAAACTTTCTTACTGTTTGGAAACTCGTGCAATTGCTGTAATTGCGATCCTACAATTTGTAAATAAAATAAATTTTTTAAGGGTTATTAAATACAAAAATGTGAACATTTTGCCATCGGGACAAATGACCAATAGATACTTTACATGTGACGCCATTTCGGCGATTGAAGTTACAAGCGTGAAAATCTTACATATTGTCAATAAGATGTGTTTGCAACAGACTTTTAACAAGTTGTAACAATATTGTTATTTTGTCAAGTTGCTACAAGCTTGTCACTAACAGATCATTCTGTTTGCGAATTGTTGAATGGCAGAACGATTATAAATTATCACAACAGCTTGTAATAAGTCTAGTTGCAAGTCTGTTGCAGCCTGTAACAATCACAACCTGACGATAGCATGTTGAAACAAACCTTGTAGCAACTATAGTACAAGCCTGTAACAATCTGTCAACCAAGATGGCGTCCATACCTAACTATACCTAAATATACCTGTTCTGGCAATTCAAACACTCATGCCTCAAAATGATGTGTCTTTAGCTGATGTCAACGCTTCTTCTAACAATTCTTTATCAACCGAGCTCTTGATGACGTCATCGCTTTCAGCCTCCGTCGTAGAAGGTTCGGCTTTTGTCATAGAATCTTCACTAGTATCAGTCTCATTGTCGTTAGTGTCTTTTGGTTTCTCCGAAACTTCTTCCACTTCGTCTCCTTCCGAAGTGGTCTTTGGTGTGTCTGTTTCTTTTGGCGCTTCGTTTTCACCGGTCGATTGAGTTGTGTCTGGAATAGAGGCTTCGGAAAGGTCTTTACCTTCAGTTGCTGTTTCAGTAGGATCATCTTGAGGGGTATCTTTCTCCGGGCTTATCGAAGTATCTTTCTCCAGTGATACTGCAGTTGGGTTTTCATCCTCGGGTTTTTCATCCTCGGGTTTTTCATCTACCGCAACTTTCTCATCAGCTTTCGGTTTCTCGGGTTCGTCTTCCGTACGGGGTTTGTCACCGGATTCTTTCTCCGAGACTTCCTGGGTCTTTTCAGCTGGTTTATCAAATACCTCATCTTCAACTATTTTGTCTTTTGCTGCTGGCTGTTCAGGCGTCTCTCTAAAATATAAAAGGTTTACATTGAAAATACATCTATTAATTCTACGTGGGTTGCGATAAAAGTCAGCACCCATCGAAATAAATTCACATTGCATTTTTCACAAAGCAAAAGAATGATCTAATCTATTGTTATCTTACTCCTTTGTTTCAGGCACCGTCTCAGCCTCCACACTTTTCCGCTTCTCCGCATCCAAACTTTTCCGTCTTTCCGCATCCTCTTTCTGCGAGTTTCCGCGGCTCCGCGATACACTAGGAGGTCGTTTCGGGACAGTTGGTCTTGCGGAGACATTTGGTTTTTCTTTGGGCGCTGGTTTTGGCGGAACTGGTTTGCCTGCTTCATTACTCAATCTACGCTCTTTTTTGTTCTCACCTACAATATATACATGTAACTTATTTATACTGGAAAGCTCCACCAGTTCCAAACTGTTCTTCCTTGTCTAGTGAGGGTCCAACCATAGATATAGGAGATCTAGATTGCTAACGCATACCTAGCGCAGGCGGGGCCTACATGATAAATCGAAGATGGCGGTACAACAGGGCAAAAAGACTATAGATTCTATTACGAAAATCAGGATTTTTGGATTTTTGCCGTCGCATTGTTTCGAAACTTATTCGGTCAAGCTTTCTGGTAAAGAGAAACTTACCGCGAAGATTTTGAGCATATATATGATTGAATTGGATGAAAAATCGCAAAATTATCCATCGATAAAAGTTCGTGTATAGTACTGATATAGTACTATATATGTAACGTGTACAGTTTTGCTTTAATTTTTGCTCACTATTTGCATAAAAAGCAAATTATAACAGATCATAGATGATAGACCCTCATCCAGTGCTCTCATCAGTTCACTTCTCTAACAAGCAAGGAGGGGGGGGGGGGGGGGGGATTTTTTATAATTATGAGGACAGAGCAGATGATGATGAGAGATGCAAGTATAAAACACCATTCACAAGGCTAGATGTTAACATATCACAGTATTTCTGGCAATAAAACGCTCCAACTGACCAACTGACCATTTCACACGAACTTTTATCGCTGGATAATTTTGCGATTTTTCATCCAATTCAATCATATATGTGCTCAAAATCTTCGCGGTAAATTTCTCTTTACCATAAAATTTGACCGAATAAGTTTCGAAACAATGCGACGGCAAAAAATACAAAAATCCTGATTTTCGTAATAGAATCTATAGTCTTTTTGCCCTGTTGTACCGCCATCTTGGATTTATCATGTAGGCCCCGCCTGCGCTAGGTATGCGTTAGCAATCTAGATCTCCTATATCTATGGGTCCAACCTCCGTCGCAGGGAAGACCCTGGGTACGAGGATGGTGAGGGCCTTATTTATTGGTTCGGTGTTACTACAGAAGAAAATTAAACCAGACCAACTTTATTTATACTGGATAGCTCTATTAGTTCTAAACTGTTCTCCCTAGGAGTGCAGTAAAGGCAGGTCATCTCTCATTGACTGGTGTCACTACAAAAAGAAACTTTATTTACACTGGAGAGTTCTATCAGTTCTAAATAGTTCTCCCTAGAGCAGGCTTTTAGCCAGGGTCCTAAAGGAGGGCGTCCAATTTTGCTACAACGATACCTCTACAGTAAAGAGGGAGGGGGGTGGGGGGGCGAGGGGCGTTCGAGAAAACGTTCCTCTGGAAACCTTTGAAGTGTACGTTACTTCATGTCTGTATCTGTTCCAAGCTCGTTCGGAATTTTTCAAACCCACTTGGCTTTGTGACTTTGTGCCGCTATGCTTCTTTACTTAACTACAACATTTTCATTCAGCCCAGAGCATTCAGCCAGGTACACCATCAAATTGATCAAAATGTCAAATGTATAATAATAGTGAGAATTGAAGCTATTTCATTTGAGATATATTAATATACTTAGGGAAATAATTGAAAATTGGGCGTCCAAAGGCGTCCATTTTTTGTTCTAGGGGCATCCCAGGACGCCTGGACGCCTTTCTGGCTAAAAGCCTGCCCTAGAGGTCCAGTAAGGCCATGATTCGTCGATAATGAAGCTAATATTCTCGTTCCCGCACAAATTTAGGCCTGCATTACCTTCTCTGGGTCTGGGTTGAGGTGTGGGTTTGCTGTCTTTGGCAACTGAGATCAAATCTGCAGCAGACTTCGCTTTAACAGAACGCTTCATTGAGGATGGTCGCAATGGCACGACAGGCCGAACATCAGGATTGGTGCCTACTCGTTGACGTGGCTTCGGTTCTGGCGATTTCTACATGGACAAAGAACGTATGACCTCAAACTTTGTTATATCATATTCACAAAGAAATTTATATTCAATATAAGGGTTGGTTTCAACATGGATAATAATATAAATGGATTGGAAACTAGCTGACGTGACCTAATGTTTTCAATGGGCTGATTGCGTGATTGGATGTTGAAACCTAGTTGCAATTCTCAAAAACGGCATGTTTAGCAATAATACAGCTAAACATTTTAGTCAAAGAGCAAATGAATGTAACTACGCCATTCTACGATGAAATCTCTAAGTATTCCCAGTCAATTTTAGCAAATATTTCGAGCACTAAACAGTGAAAAAGGCATCCCAAAATTTCGTTAAAATTGGGGACCCCAATTTCGTAGCTACAAATGTAAAAAAATACAAAACAAAGACGAAAAAAATTTACCTTGAATACTTTGTCGTGGCTTAGGCATGTTTTTAAAACAATTAGACCAGTATATGCTTCAATATTACTCTTTTAAAGCGGAAAGTATAGCGAAACAACAAAAATGCCGAGAACGTTGCAATACGCGTGACGTCACAGATTGCAACTAGGTTGTTTTTGCTTACGTCAGCTAGAGTCCTATCCATTTATTTTATTATCCATGGTTTCAACAACAGATCATAGTAGTGAACTTCAGAAACACAAGAGAAGAAAATTTAGCTACACGCATTGCAATGCTATCTATTTGCCACCAAATACAAGGCTACGGCATAAAATGAAAAGAATCGACATTTATTTTCTCACTCTGATAACTGTTGGTTGACAAACCATCTGCTGCACGATAGCACAGAATACTACACAGAAGTCCATCTCCATTGTTTTTAGCGTAAGCTCTATTCGTCATGATTCGTCACTCAGCAAGTACCGTAAACAGAAGCAGGCACCCCCCTGGACATACGCCATTTTTAGTATTTCCAGGAGGGGGACTGCTTCTGTTTACGGTACTTGCTGAGTGACGAATCATGACGAATAGAGCTTACGCTAAAAACAATGGAGATGGACTTCTGTGTAGTATTCTGTGACGATAGTGCTTCCTGAAACCCAGCTATCGATCTCAAACATGCCATGTATGTACCAACCTCGCAAGCCAGGGTCTTTTACTTCCGCATGGCGCCGAGCGCAGGTAAAAGACCCTGGCTTGCGAGGTTGTGTATGTACTATCTAATTTGTGCACAAACATTCCCTCAATCCAGAAATCATATTTTTAAAATGAATTATTTAAGGCACAATTCAGCCTTTTGAATGATGGTTTTTAAAGTGCATTTCAGCCCTTTTAATTGAAAAAACTAACTAGGAACACAATTATGCATAATTCAAGATCAGTAAAACTCGATGTTTTTAACAATAAAAATGTTTTAAAATGTTAAAAAATATTAAGTTTGCTGATCTTTAATTGATTTTCCTAGTTAGATTTTCAATTAAAAGGGCTAAAATGCGCCTTAAAAACAATCATTCAAAAGGCTGAACTGTACCTTTTAAATTACTTACTTTACTTCCACTGTTAGTTCGTTCATTACGTTTCTTCATCTCAGCCAACAGATCCCCTCCCATTGGCCCCATGGCTAAACCAACCCCAAACTTGGGGGGACCCTTGGGCTGAGGTTTGGGTTTCTCTTCGACATCCTCCTTGGCGGGCTCCCCCTCCCCTCCTTCCTGCTTCCCTCCGTCTTCTTTCTCTTCACCACCCTCAGTCCTCTCCTTCGGTGGTTCACTGGGCGTCTCCGTCGTTTCCGGTTTCGTTTCGGGTTCAGCAGGTTTTTCAGCTTCACTAGGAACATGTTTTTCCGGTTTTTGAGGCCTCCCAGGCGGTCGCTTCGGTTGTTTTTCAGGTTTTTCGGGCGTTGGTTTGGTATGGGTTTCTTCAGCAGGTTTAGGACTGGATTCCACAGGTTTCGAGTCTGGTTTTTTTTCAGGCGTTGGACCTAAACAAAAAAGACGACAATTGTTAAGATCCGTTTTATAATCCGATTTTCCCTACAAGTACAAACGGGCCTTTTAAAAACTTCCGGCTTTCAAATGCAGTTTGACTCTACAAAAACATCGCAGGTTTTCGCCGGGTAAATACTGGACCTCTGTGAAGAGCAGTTTAGAACTGATAAATTTATCTAGTATAATTAAGGTTAGTTTAGTTTAGGTTTCCTTCTGTAGTAAAACTGGGTCAATAAGCTGATAAATTTATCCAGTATAATTAAGGTTAGTTTAGTTTGGGTTTCCTTCTGTAGTAAAACTGGGCCAATAAACGATAGCCCTCATTGAATCTCTAGAGCAAACAATATAGAACTGCATGATAAAGCTATCCCGGTCCCCGGATAAATGAAGTTTGCTCTAGTTTAGTTTTCACTGTTTTTAACCTGCATCGGTGAGGTCGTCCTGACTCTTTTTGTGATCTTTCTTTGATTCTTTACGTGGTGTTCCTGGCGACTTCTTGTCTTGATTTTTCTTCTTAAATATTCCCAAACCACTAGAGAAGAGGCGAATTTTTGAGATTACGAAATTTCAATTCAATTCTTTAAGAATGGAAATGTTCACTCGTTAACTTGTTAGAAAATCTTGTATTTATTCAACAAATTCCTTACCCAAGGATTCCATGTTTCTAGAAAAAAATAAAGAAACACTTTAACTGACCAAATTTATGTAAAGATGCATCATCATTTACCTGAGTTTAAACACAAGACGAACTGTCAGAAATAGCATGATCTATACTGACAATGGTTTTGGGGGGCAGACAATAAGGGACAGACAATAAGGGACAGACAATAAGGACAATGGGGGACAATGGAAACAATAAGGACAATGGGGGACAACAAGGACAATGGGGGACAACAAGGACAATGGGGGACAAGGACAATGAGGGATAACAAGGACAATGGGGGACAACAAGGACAATGGGGGACAGTGAAGCCGAACAACCAAAGGTCCGTTTACACTTGCAATTTTTGCTGCGCTAGTGCGATTTTCTTCTTCTAATGGATGTGAACGAGTGGATGAGCTTTGAAAGTTCAGATGAGCGTACATTTTCTCAGAACATCCATAACTCATCTACTCGTTCACATCCATCAGAGGGAGAAAATCACTCTAGAAATCGCAGCAAAAATGGCAAGTGTAAACGGGCCTTAATCATACAAAGTACTTGTCAGGACGGATGATTCTATTGGCTGCCACTTTTATATACAGACGAATTATCAGGCAAACTATCTTTTTTTGTCCAAGGTTGTTCATCCATGTATCTAGTTATGTGTACCTTCTTTTCTTGAGGTTCTTTGTGATTATCTTCAGCCTCTTCCTGTAAAGTGACGTAACTCACAAATGAATATCGTTGTTCCTGTGAGAGTGAGGGAGACTAGTGACGAGTGAGCACGTGTTCGCGTATTGATGAGTACGTACAAGTGAAGAGGGGGGTGAGTGTAAAAATACGAATTTGTATTAGGAATGCAGTAATGATAAAATACCGAACAGTAGGCGAGTTTTACCCCAGGCTGTACGACATTGTCCATACCTTATCATGCTTCTTCTTGCTACTCTGAGGCCGCTGACTGATTGTGGCACTTTTCGATATCGCAGGATCAGTTACCAGCTTGGTAGTAGACGGTAGCCTGGAAATACAGAATTTATACGTATAAGTACAAAGGCATTGTAATTGGTGGGTGTCAGTAACCGTTACAGGGTATGAACTATACCAACCCTATATGCACTTTAAAGCTACAGTGATTGTAACCTACACACGTAAAAACGCACAAGTTGTAACAAACCTGCAGCAGACTTGTAGCAATGCTGTTCCAACAACTTGTCAACAGGATGTGTTCGCATTGCTTGTTCCCAGCTTGTTGGCAAGTTGTCAGCGGCTTGTTGACAACTTGCTACAAGGTTGTTGAGTCCAACAGACTTGTTACAAGTTGTTCCAACAACTTGTTATCGTCCTGCAATTCAACAATTTGTCAACAAGTTGTCAGTGACAAGCTTGTAGCAACTTGATAAAATAACAGCATTGTTACAACTTGTTGACAAGCTTGCTACAAGCCTGTTGCGAACACATCTTGTTGACAAGTTGTGAGATTTTTACGTGTGTATGACTTAATTTTGACTCTATTTGATAATATAATCTGTTTTGAAATTCTAGCCTGAACAGGTTCTTATTTTATAGGGTGTCTAAATAAAATATTTTAACCTAACAGTTGTTTTACTATGTCTAGAAAAGAAAAACAAAGTACAAAACGTACGCGGCAGATTGTGGTCTAGCAGCAGGTTTATTGAAGAATGAATCTATTCCAGCATCAAAATTATCAACGACTATCTCAGGACCAGCAGCGGCAACATTATTCTGTTGTCCCCCGGGCGCTCTTGTCGGTGGTCGTCGGCCCCGAGCGGGTTTGGCTCTGTTCTTAGTGACATGGACAAGTCCCTTGGGCGCCGTCTCTGTTGGTGCGGAAAGATGTAAGCAGACGAAATATGTTTCGAATACAGTACATACGTTCCTGAATCAGCAATGGGTGGTTCCGGCTGCAGACTAAATTTTGATCAAGGCAAGAAGAACGAAATCCAACACCACAGCTAGAAAGAGCGTCTTAGAATGAGTAAAACTGCAAAGATTGGTTGCGAAATGTTGTAAAATGAAGAAGATATAGCCCTGTGAAGTTCGCAAATTTTGTATATATTTGTATTACGCGCGGTAAAAATAACCACTTTCGGCTCAAAAATGGACCCGCGCGTAATGCAAATATATACCAAATTTGCGAATTTCGCAGGGCTATACTTTCCTCATTTTACAACAATTCGCAACCAAACTTTGCATTTTTTACTCATTTTAAGACGCTCTTTCCAGCTGTGGTGGATCGAAATTCGTCTATAGCTGCATGCATGGAATCATCCATTGAAGACCTGTTCATATACGAACCCAGAAACTTGAGTGGGATGAACTATTAATGTCTCGCCTTCTATCAAGCCTCGGTGAAATGAATTTTCTTACGAATTAAAAACAGGTGCCCTCGAAATACTTTTTCTTCTAATTCTCTGGTTGAACAAAATGCACGCTGTATTATGGCCGAAATAGTGCGTGTTTAGGTCTATTAATTTTAAATTTTCTTATTTGCATATCGATGCGATACCAATATAGGTCAAACACGCCCATGAGTGGGATGAAGCGTAAACAAGGAACATTATAATCCACTTGACAAACATCCTCCTAATACGAGGTGAATTTGCACCTAAAAGGACTTCCATCATATGAACACATAATATTTTTATTATATGCATTAAAAATAACATGTGGAACCGGCTCACTCAAGTATATGTTTCAGTTTATAGCCGGGCAAATATGAACAGGTCTCTAAACGGAGTAATATGAAGATATTGGGCATCTCTTACAGTTGAAGGGTTACTGTAGATGCAGGTTAAAGATTATATATAATTTATTGTAGATTATATATAACTTTCAGACCTAACAGGAAGCAGCTGCGAAAAATGCAACTATGTCCCCGTTTACATGAGACTTGCTCCAAGTCTCTCTTTCATTGTCATATCGATCCACTATAGTGTACATTACATGACGTAGCACGGAGAGGAGGAGCGAGAAAGAGAGACTTGTCAACTTCGAAAAATCTCGGTTAAAACTGAACCGAAAATGCAAGACTTGCTTTAATTGTTTTCCTTCAATTTCTTTCTGTATTATTTACTATAATGGAACTCATGTTATTTACACTGTGCTAGATCAATACATAATAAACACTGACAGAAAACAATTAAAGCAAGTCTTGCATTTTCGGTTCAGTTTTGAACCGAGATTTTCCGAAGTTGACAAGTCTCTCTTTCTCGCTCCGCCCCTCCGTACTACGTCATGTAATGTACACTATAGTGGATCGATACTATATGACAATGAAAGAACGAAGTCAAACCGGGAGCATTTCGTTTCTGTCACAGTATTATTTGCAACAGATGTTTACATGAGACCGGGACGAAAATAACTCAGACCGGTCTCAAGTCATTCCGCCTGCTGGACCGAGCCGACTGACTTCAGACCGGTATGAATTCAGACCGGGATGAATGTAAACACAAATACATTTCAGACCGGTCTCGGCTGTAACCTTGACATTGGAACAACACATGCTAATAAAAGCCATCTAAAAAAGAAAATTGCCTGGCAAGGGGAATAAATTGAAAATTTTGTGATTTTCGTACTGGTCTCATGTAAAAATGTTGACAATTTCAATTTTCATTCAGGTTTGACTTCGTTTCGGTCTCATGTAAACGAGGCGATAGGCCCTCTTGTAGAAATCGAACCCGTGGTCCTGTGATTCCGCGGTGACCTGTTCATTCCAAAACTCAATAAATGAACAACTATTCTCACCAGTATCAGCCGCAACAGGTTCTTTCTTCTTGGCGTCTTCCTCAGCGGCTTCCGAAGTCTTACGTTTCCTGTTGATTGTCGGCCGACGTCGGGGGTGATTCGATGGAGTGAAAACGTCGCTCTCGGCATCTTCCGGGAAACGCACGCTACGACGGTTTTGTGCCGCGCTTAATCTGTTCTTTGCTTTTTGGGCGGCCTGAAGTAGTAGATGATGTAGCGGTTAAGCCGAGGATTAGGTTTGTGTTAGTAGTCTTATATTTAAGGTTGGAATTGGGATTGTAAAATGAATTTGAGGCTATGTTGTAACGGCCCGTTTGAGACCGGTTAAAGGTCCAGACACACCGGACGCGATTCGACAACGCGACGCGATTTTTCGATTTTCACTGACCGATAACTTTGATCCTAGTTTAAATTTTCCAAATATTTAGAAGCGCCATAACATTTTGAGTTTTTGGTCTACATATCTTTCAAAATTTGCTTTCATTGGCTGTTTTATTAACTTTCAAAAACTAAAAAATCGCGTCGCGTTGTCGAATCGCGTCCGGTGTGTCTGGACCTTTACACTTTGAGCCGGTTGTACGAAGGTCGGATAGAGCTATCCACCGGATAATGATTTTTTCAACCTTTGTAAAATGCTTGAAAAACTGTGAAACTACGGATATAGACGACACAGGAAGTATAAAAAACATTTAACCTATAAATACTAAACTTTAATACGAGTTATACCAATCAACGACTGGTTTAAGAAAGCTTGAAAAAATCACTATCCGGTGGATAGCGCTATCTGGCCTTCGTAGAACCGGCCCCTCGCAATAGACCTTTCCCCTTTTGAGTGAAATTTTGATCTAGACAAGTCTGGACAAAAATTTCATCACAGTTTGAAAGAGCATCACAAAATTAGTAATATTCCGAAGTTTCGTTGCGAAATGTTGTAAAATGCGAATATAGCCTTGCGAAGTTTGCCGTTTTTCAGTCATTTTGCATTACAATCTAACATTTTGCATCAGTTTCATCATCTGATGTAAAATGTTAGATTGTAATGCAAAATGACTCAGTGAAAAACGGCAAACTTCGCAAAGCTATATTATCCGCATTTTACAACATTTCGCAACGAAACTTCGGAATATTACTAATTTTGTGATGCTCTTTCAAGCTGTGATGAAACTTTTGCCCAGGCATATCTAGATCAAAATTTCACTCATAAGGGGAAAGGTCTATTTTAGGTGCGATTTACTTCTTCTGAAGGATGCGAATGAGTAGAGACTTATGAGTGTTTGAGCATATGTTCCTTCCATGGCAACTTGTCATGCTATGCAAATAAACCTGCATTTCTAAAGACGATACATTTCTAAAGGATCATTACAAATTTGCATAGCATGACCTGTTGCTATGGCTAGTTCACCACTGGTATGTTTTCTTTATCTGAACATTCATATCCTATCTACTATCTACTACAGCCAAAAAGAAAATCGCACTTCAAATCGCAGCAAACATTGCAAGTATAAACTGGCCTCAATACTGGACAAATCATGTAGCTGTAACGCATTCAGGCATACACAAGCAAAAAAATATCCACCTCGATAAGATTATCATTGTGCTCCTCTGTTTCAGTCGACTTCTCTTCCGAAGGTTCGGCTTGCTCTTTTTTATGTTCCTTCACCAGCATATCCTGATCAGAAAAAGAAGAATTGAGAACTGTAGAACGTTTCATGAAGCGTTAAGGAGCAACAGATGGTCGTCAACTCATTCAAAATCGGCTTCTCGTTCCTACTTCCTGCTGACTGGTATTTAGCATAGATCAGCTGGTCGGTTGATTGCATTGTACTCACATACAGACAAACAGCAGGCTTGTGACAGCTAGCTAATGCGTGTTATATACGATTGCTACAGAAACATCGGCCCCCAGAAAGCTGCGTTAGGAAAAGTTGTACTACATATATACCAACACAACATCAGCATACTGCCAATCTCATTATGCCTAGCCAAGTATAATTTATTTGTTTTACGGTGTCAGTGTTGAGCAGAGTGTTCCACATTAAACCTTCCTGACTGACCTCACATATGGTAACCCTCAAGACCGGATTTTGGTGGAAATAGTGGGGGAGGTAGAAAAACATTTACGGGAGGTGCAGCGGTCTAGCTCACGACCCCCATAGAAAGTTAGGGCTCAGAACGGGCCAAAGTCAAAGACGTGACGTATGCATGTAGTGTACATATGTATCCAGTGTATTAATGAATTATGATTGTACAACTCATCCAATTTTGCCCTTCATTACAATTACTACAAAGTTTCTTTCAAAACATTGCATTAAAAGGGTATTTGACACAGAGATGAATGCCTATCACTGTTTCAATTTTACAGAAACATTTTCTTACGAAGTGTAGATCCTAAGCAACCAAAAAATGTCAATCTACCAATGGAACTTTCCCAAGGGAGGTGCATGACTTTTCAGGAGAAATGCAAAACGATCTCAGGGGAGGTACGCACCTCCCCTCAAAATCCGGCCATGGTACCCTCATACCCGCAGCTTTTTTGCAACTCTGGGTCAACATAAAAAATACAGACATTTGCAGGCGCCAGCATATACAAGATTATTATATACTAATACATTTTGACTCAGTATATTTGGCCCTCTTACCAGTTTAGCTTGTTGCTGTTCCAACTGGGAGATGACTTCATCCATCAATGTATCAACAACGATGGTCGATAAATTCAGCTTTTTCTCGCTACAAGGGAACAAAGAGAATACATAAATCAGCTCAAAATCTGTCCGGTTTTCAACCAAAGGGATTTCGAATTTCAACAACTATCATACCTGACTTCGTTCAATATCACAGGCGCGAGCTGTTGCAGAAAGACTGTATCAATAAAAGCCTTACTGACGTTAGCTTTTCCTTCACACGCTGTTTTAAGATTTTCTTTCACACCCTAACAAAGGCAAAAAAATAATGTTGAAATAATGCATACAACGTGGAAACGAAAAAGATGCTTTATCCCATTGTATATAGATAGCCAAATTGAGAGTACCTGTTGGTCTGTTACAAAAGGACAATTTGACTCGGTGCATTCCAATATTTTCTCAACATTTTCCTTCATTTGTTGTTGTATAGAGTTGTGAATATCAGAAGCAAGAGATGAAAGCCTTTCCTCCATATTCTTGGAACTTGTACTCATGTGAAATTTCAGGAACAGCTAAAAGCATAGAAGAACAAAACCCAATTATAACCTCGTAGTCGTACTCGTAGTTCAATATAAAGCCCTCGAATAATGACAGTTTATACCTGTTTGAGTCTATCAGCGTCGTTGATACATCTGAGAGCATTACGAAGTGCAGACTTGACAGTTTCATCAGGAGAACTGCGCAATACTCTGGCTGTGTCTTGAAGGTGAACAATCAGTTTATCGACCATCTAGAGTTACATCAATGATGAGCTGGAGGGTAGTGATTCAAATATCTCTACAATCGCATCTCATGGCGTGAATTTTCGCTTGGAGCCTGATTTTAACCCTACCTCTACCCCCTAACCATAACTACATCCTATTCCTAAATCTAATCCTATGCTAACCTTATCCCGACGCCACTTACCCGAACACTAATCCAAACCATAAACCTTACTCTATCTTTTCCCTACCTCCTAACCAATTCTAACAATAACATTTTTGTAAAATTGGGAACGTCATCTCACATGACGTCATAGTTATGTGACGTCATTTCATGTCACAACCTAACTACCTCGACCTAATATAACTGCATTCTGTGCACTGACCTGTTGTTGAGTTGAGGTCATCATGAGCCCCTGTTGAAGTCTGTACGCTTGTTCAGTGACAGCTTGACTTGGAGAATGATTTCGAGACAGACATTTCTCGATCTGAAGAAATAAAACATTTTGTCAACAGTCCTTTCTTTGTTTGCGGTGAAACATGCAAAGTAGAATGTACTACAATAGATATAATGAGTCAGTCTTACTTGCTTCAACGCCTTCTCCGTGGCAGGTTTCAAACACAGGGCGACATCATTTATTGGCATCGGCATTGACTGTAATGTCAAGTTGCTGTGGAAAAATACTGTACAATATTGTACTGTATTGGATCATACTGTAAACATGTACTATTAAACTGTTCTGAACTGGTACTGAACTAAAGCATACTGTACAAATCTATACTGTTCTGTACCACAGTACTATACTGTCTAGTATACATACCGACAAACGTATACTGTTCTGAGTACTGTGTTGGATCATACTGTAAACATGTACTACTAAACTGTTCTGAACTGGTACTGAATTAAAGCATACTGTACAAACCTATACTGTTCTGTACCACAGTACTATACTATACAGCACTGCACTATTCTATAGTGAACAGTAATACCACAGTGTGGTACGGTTCTAAAGGGTTACGTATTCTACAGTAACTTACTTTTCTATCCCCAATGCCATATCTCGAAATCCATTCTGCGTTACATTATTTCTATCCCAGTGAATTACTCTTAAAGAGGAATATAATTATAATTAGTATAATTACATAGGTGATTATTGAAAATTCTCCACGCTGATTGGTTGCCGTTGAGGTGATTATAACGCGATAATCACCTAAGCGATTTTCGAAATGGCGGCCGAAGCCGTTTTGTCAATTAAATGACGAAGAAATTTGTATTTTTTATTTTTTCTCCAAATAATCACCTATGAAATTATACTAAAACAATTATTCACCTCAGGCTCGGTGATTATCGTGAATAACAACCTCGATTTCGTCTCGGTTTTTATTCACCGATAATCACCTCACCTTTGGCGAATAATTGTTAAATATTATGAATGCGTGTAAATACTGTAGTTACCAGATATTTTACTGTGATCAGAACATTTTATCTCACCTCAACTTGCTGTTAATTTGTAAAGCTTTAGCTAAGACTCGAGCTCCCTCGTCGCCCATCAGGTTGCCACTGAAAGACACAAACAATTTAATTTACCGAACAAAAACGCAGTAGTCATAACAGACAATAGATGATTCTAGCTGTAGTCTAAAATCCATCATCACAGCTAGAAAGAGCATGTTAAAAGTAGTAAAATTGCAAAGTTTGGCCGCGAAATGTTGTAAAATGGGGAAAATACAGCCCTATGAAATTTGCAAATTTTGTATTGATTTGTATTACGCGCGGGAAACTGCACCACATTTGGGCCGAAAGTGGTGCATTTTCCCGTGCGTAATACGAATTAATACAAAATTCGCAAATTTCGTAAGGCTATATTTTCCGCATTTTACAACATTTCGCAACCAAACTTTGCAATTTTACTAATTTTAACATGCTCTTTCTAGCTGTGGTGATGGATTTTGTTCTTCTTGCCGATATCAAAATTTAGTCTACAGCTGGGATCATCTATTAAATCTTGGCTCGCTATCACCTCACCTTATATCCAGCTCGACAAGAGATTCGTTGGTTCCCAGTGAATCAAACAGTAGCGTGATGCTCTGTTTTAATCTGGACTCAGCCAAACTCAGAAATTCAATCGGCTGTCAGGAGAAGGAACATTGTTAGATGTATATTGCCCATTTTAGTTAATGCTGTAGTCACAAAATTCAAATATTTGTTCCATGAGGACTTACCGAATTTTCAACAGAAATCAACTTAATTAAAGCTTCCATGATGTTGTTTAGATTCCTATAGTGAAAGATATGTCAGCATAAAAAGCTGAATTAATGGCGGTAATGACGTCACGGAGTGGTGATGGTAGTGAAGATGGTAAATAAGTTGGTAATGAAGATGATAATGAAGATGGTAATAAAGATGGTAATAAAGATGGTAATAAAGATGGTAATAAAGATGGTAATAAAGATGGTAATAAAGATGGTAATAAAGATGGTAATGAAGATGGTAATGAAGATGGTAATGAAGATGGTAATGAAGATGGTAATGAATGAAGATGGTAATGAAAATGGTAATGAAGATGGTAATGAAGATGGTAATGAAGATGGTAATGAAGATGGTAATGAAGATGGTAGTGTATGGTGATGGTGATATCGGTGATAGTATCAATGGTAGTAATCATGGTTAAGGTAGTGGGGATAATGGTGATAAATATGGTTGATTAGTGAACATCGTGATCATTGGCCGTGATGGTGGTGGAAATGGTAGTGATGATGGTGAACGATGATGGTTACGAGGTGATTATGGTGATAATGGCGGTGGCAATGGTCAAGTCAGACATGTTATAATGAGTACACCCACCTTCCCTTGTGGCAATTCTGACCGAGATAAAGCTTCTTCAACGCCTTATTCCCACACAAACTTTCACACAGTGGAATCAAGTCAGATTCAAATCCTGAGATACAAAAGAAATTTCAACTCACATTTCTACAATTTTGCTTGGAAATTTTAAAGTACTGCAACTCAGAACTTACCGTTATCACTAAGATCCAAGGAATATACATTTCCAACGTGACTCAAGGGTCCTGTTATTGCTCGTAGACCTGCTGTTTTGAGCTGAAACACAAACAGAGTATTGATGATGAAGATTAAATAGACATCCCATATTGTTAGACTGTCAGTGGGATAGAGTTTGTAAGATGTCAGTTGTCAGTCAAAACTACGTACAAATATCTGTGATCAGTTGCGCATTCAGATTCTCGTAAAGGGTACTAAGAGAATAATTACCTCATTTTTGCTGATATCGACAGTGACTTCCTTGACTACATGGTTCTCAGTCAAACCAAGAAACATAGCTCTACATAAACGAAACATTTCGCATCTTATACAAGTACAGTACAGGTCACTGGTAAAAAATAGACCATTGGAATAACCCAAGTGACGATGTATATATATACACTGATACACACTTTTATACTTAATCGCAGGTCACGTTCGATTCCTGCCAAAGGACCTATAGCATTAGCCATTTCCCAATCGAGCAGATTGGGTCTAGTTGATGTTTGGACGGACGTTTGGACGGACAACAAGTTACAGTGAGAGAGCTAAGTATATATTAAAAGATGCCTTATTATAATTGTTGCATGTCAGGCTGCACAAATAACTTTAGGAATGTAGGAAAACTTCCTAGATGCCATATTCGGCATGTTTATTTTCCCTCCAAACAAGCGACTAGACCCAGTCCTCTGCTCGATTGGGAAATGGCTAATTGCATTTTTCGCAACCGTTCCTGGTTAGGTATAAAAGTGTATAATATATATCGTCACTTAGATTATCCATCCACTCCAATATTCATTGGAATAACACCAAGTATAACAATAGATCCATCCAGTCACGATCCAGTGACCAGCATGTGCCATTGTCTGTTCATTGTTTGAAAATCCTACTGTTCTCCATTGTTTGGACTTATCTGCGAGGTAAACTGAATGAACTATCACCGCTGCTATAACGTACTACAAAAAAACATTCATAATGTACCTGACTGCATCAGCAGGCAGACGACATTCGGACATTTTGATTTCCTTTAAGGCAGCCGTACTACTGAAAAACTAAACAAAACGAAAACTTTAGTGCTCTGAACGAGCTTTTATCGATTCAAAAAGAACTAAGGGAGCGGTCATTATTTATGGCGGGGGGTGGCACCGAAGAGAAAAGGGTTGGGGAAACAAAATTTTGAGTGAGTAAAAGGTTGGGTAAATCAAAAACGAAACAACTCAAAGGTTGTGTAATAAAAATTTATTGTCATTTCCAAAGCATGACTCACTCAAATATTGAAGACTGAAAACTTCAAAGTCAACAGTCATATGTCAATACAATATGCGAATCAATCTATATCTTCATCATTTTCCGATTTGTTGGGAGACAAATGGTGGATGTCTCCAAAGATAGTAAATGTGCAGACAACATGAAACTTTAGACTGCAGAAAAGTCAGTAAATTTCACAAGCCGAACGTTATCAAACTATCAAACATTCACAAGCCGAACGTTATCAAACGTATCACAGAAGTGGTAAAGGACTTGTGTCATGTGTGACAACTGAATGACATCCTTTTGTAACGTTTTGGCCAGGGGTGGGTATTTATTTTTTAAAATGATACTTGAGGTTGGGTAATCAAATTTTTGATTTTTTAATGGTTGGGTCAGCAAAATTTATGCCACGAAAAACATTTCTCTTCGGTGCTACCCCCCACCATAAATAATGACCGGTCCCTAAAGACGAAACTGTATGATGAGACAAGTTCTACATTTCGTGGAGTTATAAATGAATATAAGAAATTAACCTTTTGAAAACTGGAAGATAGGTTTGCATCCTTGCTTTTTCTGTTGGTAAATTGATTCCCTGACATATTAAGATACGTTAAATTTTGACAGCAACCTCTTATCAGGGCGCCAAATATCTAAAATAAAAGTGAAATAAATTTTGAACAATTATACTATATAACAGCATGAAATGATGGCATAATGATATGGGACTTACATTTTCCACAAAACATTCGGTTGAACTTAAATCAACATGAGTTAACGCATTGGGTTGAGCTAAGAAATCGCAAATCGCCTATAACAATTGGAAATAACAATATCAGAATTGGTAACACATCAGTTGAGCTCGGAGTTCAGTGCTTCATGGAATTGATATCGGAGCGGCGCATTGCTACCTGCAGAAGAAGAGGGTGATGGACGTGACGACTGTAGAAAGGACGATGTCGTGGCTCAAGAGCGGTTTGAAGAAAGTGTCAATAGAGCAAGCCTTAAACACATTGGTCGGTCACGGACATTGTCCGACCCATTCGTGAAATTGTCCGACGTAAAGAGGAAACCACCGGACATTCTGTCCGACCTAAGTGAAAATAAGGTTTATTGTTTGTCCGACCCGAGTGTATTGGTGTCCGACCAAACTGTAGCTTTGTCCAACGTAAATCAAAATGTACCCTAGTTTCAGGACTAGAGGCTCGTATGTTAAATAGAGAATCAGAGTAGTGCATTAAAAGTGAACTGGAAATGTTGTTTTAATGCAATCGAGGGCGGGGCGGAGAACGAAATGGTGAAGTGTAAAATGGGCTTAAATTGTCGAACTCTTACTGCTGTTCTAGGCAAGATAATTTTGGCTAGGAAATTAACGGGTCCACAACATTTGCCGTTCAGAATTAATACATTGTGCTGATATTAATTTGTGTCATTCACTCATTCAGGCTTATTTCCGAGACAAACTGAACTGAAGGTCATCGGACATATGTCCGACCCAAACTCAACGTCATCGGACATTTTGTCAGACGGCCCTGGAAAAAATATTTTAAGGCCTGCAATAGAGACCTTACGATTCAGGAAGGCAACGCGACGGCAACGGCTACCAATACAATAAATCATTGAAAAGAATTGAATATTAATTACAATATATGAATAATTTAGACATTGTCCTTCGCTCTGTTTACAACGCCAAATCACTGATTTTCACGTCTTGATACAACGGCTGCATTTCAAGCTGCAACAAGTGCAACTTCAAACTGGGTTCAGCATAACTCTTCCTAACCATAAAACCCATGTCTTCAACTTCTAAGACTGTATTAAATTCATACGATTGATAATATACAACGAATTATCTTTACTATCATTTATTTGAAGGAGTTTGTTTTGGGCGTCGTCGTCGCGTTGCCGTCCTAAAATCGTAAGGTCTCTAATATTTGAGGCAAGCAGCACTGTAACTTCGAGCCAGAACCGAGCCCTATTCATACTTGAGTTGTTAACACTACATAGTAAAACTAGTCACGCAGTCACTTACTGTAACACCATCAGCTTTAATTGGGTTGTTGGATAAGTTTAACCTGTGATGAAAACGAAACAAAATAAAATTGAATTTTTCCAATGCTAATGCGTGGGCAAAAGAAACAGGGAACAAACCTTGTTAAAGACGTTGACATATATTTGCTGCTTTTTAACATTTGACCGATTGCTGCAACACCTTGAAAAAATAGTATTATTAGATACTATAAGGGCATGTTAAAATTTCAATTTTGACTTTACAAGTTCCGTTTATACTACTTTAATACATCCAACGTTACCTTTATTAGTAATACCAGTCTCGTGAAGATTGAGCGAATCCAATCCATGAGAAAGTTTAGAAAATCCACCAATTAAATGAATTATTCCTAATGAAATAAAGGATAAACTATCATGATGGTTAAAAACCAAGGCTTTCGTCCAGGGCGGATCTACCGTGGGGCTGCAGGGGGGGGGGGGGTGTGCGCACTCCACCTACCGGTCTAGCAGCCCCCTAGAGAAGTCCGCACCACCCTAAAAAATCTGCTTGACCGTACATTTTCTGCTTTTCAAATAGCGATTAGCAGAACTTCTACTGTTAGCGGGTGCCGATTTCTTGAAAAGATTTTTAAATTGATTTAAACAAATTACTGTGTTACAGCAACTGTCCAGTCATGCATACGTGATAAAAAGCCGATATAAACTTTACAAAGAAAAGATAATGAAAAACGTATAACAGAACGGCGAATGCAGATTCGACCATCTCAAATAATGGTAATGTTGGGATAGTAGCGTTGCAGACTGCAGAGGAGAGTGGGCAGTAAGACTCCCTCATGCAGCACCCCATGGAAAACCTGCACCCTTCCCTGTAGATGAGGCGGGTCATCATCTACCTATACTATCCAGGCTCGTGGTTGGTTGATTATAACAATGAAGGACAATAAAAGAACGAGTCACGAACAATGATCATTTTTGTTTCTGATTTGTTTCTGAAAGCCAATCACAAAACACGGTCATTTTAGGTAGGTCTTTACACGATGAAGCTAGATCAGCCCTGCGTCCGTTACATACATGATTGCGCATATACCATACCTCTATCCTCTGCAGAAGGATTCCTAGACAAGTCTATTCTTTCCAAAGCAGACTTGGGATTTGATGTCAAAGCTGTTGCCAGTTTTTGACAAAACTCTCTACAGCGAAAACAGACAAAATCCTTTAACCATGTGTGAACGCAAATTAGAACGCGAGCGAAATATTAAATGGAACAATAAATGGAACGCGAAAGTCGCGAATGGAACGAACACGGAAGACGCTAAAGAACGCGTTCCGGACACGTTAAAGTGCGTTTTTATAAAAAAAGTGTTCAGTGTTGTTGAATTAGCCTTTCTCACGAAGGCCAAAATCCGCCATTTTTGGGGTACTGTCTGCCCTCGTGAAAGACTCTAGACAATTCAAACAACGTGAAAAGTGACTTTTAAAAGTTGTAACTGTAAATTGACCATTATACAAACACCTATAACACTAAAAAATGTATTTCGTGGTGCGGAGACTCTCAAACGTGGAAGAGGCAGTGCCACCAAAACTGTGGCGGAAAAATCGACCGTGAGAAATGCAAATTACCTGCCCAAGCTGACGCCATCCAGTACAATTTCAACAATTGTTGTTGAACGTTTTATAACTCTGGTTATAACATCCAAGATCTCGGCAGGCTACAAAATACGTGAAAGGTGATGAAAATTCAAGGCACACGAGCAAGCCAGTGATCCAACAATTAATTTTTCACAATGTGAATGCGACATTATTGTCGATTTCAAGTCACTTTTCAACGCGCGGTTCCCAAGTTCGTTGCAAACTTGCCAATTACGTTTCCAAGTTCAAAAGTTGGGCACGAACTTCGCAACAAAGTTCGGAAGTACATTTCAGTGTTTGAACTATTGTAAACAAATGTTCATAGTTCAAGTTGAATTTAACAATTCAATGGAAATTTCTTGGTCCAGTGGGCTACCAAGAAGGTTTGTATTTCGCTTGAATTGGTTATTAGTATTGAGTGTGAGAATTTGTTTACAAACGAAGTTCAAACACTGAAATGAACTTGCGAACTTTGTTGCGAAGTTCGCGCCCAATTTCCGAACTTGGAAACGTAATTGGCAAGTTCGCAACGAACTTGGGAACCGCACGTTGAAAAGTGACTTGAAATCAACAGTAAATAGTGAAAACCTACCAATTTATAAGTGACACAAACGAGTTTTGTGAACCAAGCGTTGTATTCCAAGGTTGCAATGATTGGAATCAGCTCCCTGAAAAGGTACATAATGTATCAAACTATACCTAATGTATATATTTAGTAACAGTATGTGGAAACCAGTTAATTAATACCTTGGTTCTAAGTGATCAAAATGTTGAATGTCAAACTCTTTTGTGTCATTTGATAAATATATAGTATCCACATCCTACAAAAAGACAAACTTAGAAAGTCACTGAACAAGTTTCCTAAATTAAACAAGTTTGAAAATAGTAGGTTTCATTAAATCATTGCATCCTAGTCTCCTGCGCATACCTAATAAGGTGGGTACCCTGGCCTGTCAGGGAACCTACCTCTGGGAATCCACTAAAATATCAAGTAGGGATTTTGCAAAACAAGTAGGATTTGTATAATTTACATTGGAGGCAAAGGAGTTCATACAATATGCTTTGCACTTCTCTTTTAATAAAAAAATAAAAATATAAAAATAGGCGCACACTGTGTACATATGGTGGACCTGATAAAGTCATTTTTAAAGTATAGAAACCAACATACCCATGCCACCTCCTCAACAAACGGCACGCCCATTTGATTACAAATACATGCATATGAGCGAGAAAATCCACCTTAAAATCACAAAACATAGCATCAGCATAAGATAAAATATATATTCACGGTGTTACCAACCAAACATTTTTAAAAAGGATTGTTCGATAAACATTTGTTGACCTACCACAGGGACCAGCCTCTGTTAAACTTTCAGAACTTGTTAATTTATTCACAACATTATTAATACTTTCTAACTTATCACTCGGCATATCTTTTCTAACCAACTCACTAGAAAATAAAATACAATTGTTTTAGGGGCACCTAGAGTAAGATTGAGTTGACGAATTTCAGCACAAAAATAGCAGCACCACATCTTAACAAAAATGACTAATCAGTTAAGGGGCCATTCACAAAGGATGTCCGGCCAAATGATGGATTTTCAGACCCCCCTCCCCCCCCCCTGTATCCAGCATTGTCCGAATTAGTGACCTCCCCTCCCCCCGGACATCCGCCATGCCTCGCAAAAACTCACGCAACCTTGTATATGTCAAGAGTAAAAAACGTTTTTTACTTTTAGAACTTTTTTATAACTATAAATGTGAATACAAAAACCTATAAACTACTAATTAAAACAAAATCTAGTATTAACCGCATAGTCAAAATGCCAATTTCACAATGGGAGGGAGAGTTCAAAATAGAGGAAAAAGAAATTTGTTTTGGAATTTTTAAAAATTTCGGACATCTGGATTGCTAAAAACCCCCCTCCCCCTATGTCCGAGTTTGTCCTGATTTTCCAAACCCCCCTCCCCTCGGACATCCTTTGTGAATGGCCCCTAACATTAGTTTTTGTCTATTCCAATTATGGCACTTTTAAATTAAGGAGAATAACAACACAAAATTTCAAAAGATCACACATTGTTTTTAACCCAGCCTTTAAGTGGCATTATTTTACTCTGTCTAACACCAGACAATTTTACTCATTAACCCAATGAGTGGCAGCACTCTCCCTCTGATGAGTAAAATCTTCTGGCATTAGACAGAGTAAAATAATAAAGTAGGGTGCATTGCCACTTAAAGGGTTAATGGGAGAGTGCTTCCATGCATCTGCCCATGCATCATGTTAACCCATTAAGCTGCAGAGCTAGCTTCCCCACTAACGAGTAAAATCGTCTGGCGTTAGACAAGTAAAAAATAAGTAGGGCGCGCTGGGGCACATTGTGGCTCAATGGGTTAACCATTTATGTGGCAAAGCACCCTGATGGCACCCTACTTTATTATTTTACTCTGTCTAATGCCAGACGATTTTACTCATCAAGGGGCGAGTGCTAGGTACTCAATGGATTAAAACATAACAAAAATCTTACTCTAAATTCCCGCCAGAAAAATTTATTTTCAAGTTTGCTATGAGTTCACCAATGACAATGTGAGTACCGCCTGGTTTTGTCAAACAAAATTTCACATGTTTTTCTCCATATTGAATCACAATCTGTACAAATAGAACAATAAAATTCAATCAAATGTTTGGTCTCAAGGACTGATCTAGGTTCACTCAGCAAAAGGGTGAATTAGCAAAAAGCCTAAATTACGTACCTGTTCTGGTTTTTTGCTTTCTATTGCATGAATATCCAGAATATGAACACTTAGATCAACCTGTAATATTACAAGGAAAATGTTACTCAAGCAGAATTTGACAGTAAGGTGTCAAATTTCTAATAAAATACTGAGTTGCCCTCAGTTAACCCTTTAAGTGGCAATGCATCCTGGTGGGCACTATTTTACTATTTTATTCTGTCTAATGCCACATAATTTTACTCATCAATGGGAGAGTGCTGCCACTCATTGGGTTAAGTGGCAATGTACCCTCAAGCACAATACTTTATAATTTTACTCTAATGTCAGACATTTAATATTTAAACACACAAAATACCTTATAAGGTGCTTTATTGGCTGTTAGAATATAAAATCTGAAACTTGTTACAACCTAAAAAATAGAAATTATCATGATTATGTAATGCACTTGGAATTATTGAAACTTGTAAACAAAAGCTCTAGATATGTTTACTTCAAGATAAAATAACCTCCTTTTAGAAATTCCAGTGAGATTTTGGTCATGGTGAATATGTATTAGATGTGGCACCATATTTGCTGAATGAATGGCTGACAAAGTGAGTTCTTTATGAAAGAGTTTGTGCTCATATACTGTAATGACCTCTGCCTAAGTGCCTTGAATTAATTAGGAGTTCCTTTTTCTGGAAATAAAATGCGACTTATCAAAGAACAAGGCACCTTGATACAGTGCTAATTTATAGGCTGGGCTGCATTGTTCAACACTGACTGCATAGTTCAACGCTGGCTGAATGAGTAATTGACTATTTTCTGCCTAAGCATACAATATGGTCCTCAATAATTAATTAAAGAGCTCCTTAGAGAACCTCTCTTATTTTACCCGTAAGGGTTGATTAATTTCAAGATGCATCGATCTATAATACATTAATACTATCAAAGAATTTAATAATTATTCTACCGTAATAGCCAAGTAATAGTCACAATTTGATACTTTAAAAGTATGTAAATACACTATAGAACTATTTGTGATATCAGCTTTTCCACGGTTGACCAAAACAGTATTAAAACGTATTCCAGAAACTCTGCCTATAAACCATTTCTAAAGATTCTCACACATTTTTGAAATCTCTACACAAATGTACAATGGTCTAAATCTGTACAATGGTATATGAACAAGTCACTTATAAAAACAAATATAAACACATCGCAACTGGAAAGTGGACAGCACTTTTATTAATAATATACTAAAACATATTTCAACAATTAACAGACTTAAACAGGACAATAACTTATAAAGTTATTGTATATTAGGGAAAGTTCAAACAACACATTTACAGAATTGTGGAATGTAGTAAATTTACAAAACAAAGGCATAAAATGCCATTACTTACAAGAATTCGCGAATCAATCTTGTCGCCCCTCAACTCTAATTTGATTCCTTTGACCAACAGTATTTCGCTATTCTTACCAATAGCAGCTTGGATTAGCCCTTCGAGAATAAAACACAATAAATCATAGTTGACCACAGTTGTGTTTTCGATATATGAACACAACTGGTTATGCAAGCGATCAAGGAATAATATAAACAAAAAAAAACTATGGCATTCCGTCAAACCTTTGTCGAAGTTATGCGATTCATTCCCCTTTCCAGCCATTTGAAATGTGATAAAGTTGTAAAAACAAGGTGAAATCTGAGCACTACCGTCGATTCATGATGTCTGAACTAAATATGATATATTATCTTCCGCCATAAGTCAAAGGGGCCGGGCTGAATTTACAGCAGGAAGCTTGGAACATTTGGCATGCCAAATATGGAATGATGGCATATAAGTCTGTGAAAATATGGAAATTGGATAAATGGGCGGGGGTGTTCTATTGTGAAATGGGGGCCATATATAAATCCTGTAACTTTTGGTGGAGTTCCAATCAACTCTATACTTTGCACAAAAAAAGTTTCAATATAAATTGTTATGAGGCGGGAGATGGTGCTGTGTGCTATTGACTTATCGTGTAGAGCAGAATAGATCAGTTAATTTCTAAACAGGCCATTAATTAAAAACCCCCATAAATTTATCATTATAGAATTATTAAAAAATTTTCTGCATTAACATATTTTTGCTGACAAATACTGCTAAATAAATGCATGATTCAATAAAACTGCTACAGAATTTTACATCATAAATTTAATCATTACAATTTTCCTTCTAATATAAGCTTTTTATCCAACACTACAATGCCATCTCTATCGGCATACACATATTCGTTAGGTCTAAATGTAACACCAGAAAATGTCACTGGGATATCTCTCGAACCAACATTCTTCTTCTCAGTCTTTCGAGGAATCGAACCAAGTGCCTTTATTCCAATGTTTATTTTTTCAAGTTCAGCTATGTCTCGTACACATCCGTGGATTATTACACCACTCCAGTTGTTTTTGAGTGCAGTGGCTGCAACATTGTCGCCAAGTAGAGCTCTTCTAATCGACCCACCTCCATCAACAACTAAAACCTTGAAAAAAATCAGTTTTATGAAAAATTGGTAGAAGCAGATTTATAGAAACGTGGCATATGCCAATTTTGCTACAAAAACATGTAGCAAAATGCCAAAATGTTCTGACTGATATATTTTTGCCTTTTTGTATATAAATGAAATTCTTTTAAGAAAAAAAAGTAAAAAGCCTTAAAAGTAATAAAAGTAAAAAAAAAAGAAAAATAAAATAAAAAAATAAATTTTTTTTCAATTTTTCAATTTTTTTTACTTAAAAGTCTTTACAATAATTAAGCACATACTTTCTATTTCCGATTCCAGATCACATAAAATGCATATTATTAATACCTTTCCCTCTCCTGGTTCAGCCAATGCTGCCTTGACAAACGAATTATCCTCGTGGCATTTCACCGTCGATATTTTGCCACCAAATTTAGTCTTTTGACCAAAATCTCGAAAGATCGGCTCGGCATATTGAAGTAGGTCGCCATAGACATCGCACAAATCCGCTGTATTGTACATAGTCAAAGTTGAAATTGATCTTTTAAACCTACAAATTTTAAAGAATGAAAATCGAGCTGCCAACGTAAACATCCTCGCATGAAGCAGGTCTGGTTAATACTTCATTTTGTACAAATATAAAGGATGCTAACAATATGGTCCATTTCACAAATAACGCCGCCATCTTCAAATCGCAATGCATTGTGGTTCAACGAAGAAAAGCAGAGGAAGAAAAGTATGATGGAACATTTCACTAAAGAGGCTCACCAAGGGTGTAACCCAGGTCGCTTGTCACTTTTTTATTTGGCTGCTTTGTCGCTTGTTTTATTGTAATAAATGTCGCTCACTTTTGACCCATAACACAAATCGCAATTTGTCGCTTTTTCCCAGTCAGAAGTTGTCGTTTGTCGCTCTTTTTTAGATAGTATGTCGCCTCTTTTTAAGGAATGTCGCATGTCGGTCATAACCCCTTGGTGGGTGGGTGGGCCTCACTAAAATAGACGCCATCTTGAAATTGCAAAATATTACCAATATGACTATGTACTGTTTCTCTTATAAGGACGCCATATTCACAATTTCACACAAGTATATCGAATAGCATAAATATATATTATAATGAATAAAATAAAATTTTACAATATATCTTATATGCATAGACAATATATTCTACTCTTCGACTTCGTATAAAATAAGGAATATGAATAGCTTGTTAAAATAATGTACGATTGTAAAATAAATTATACACTTTTTACAATGCTTTACATTAAAATATATTCGATGTTCAAATTTATGCTACGTGTCTCCAACTTGTTTGAGTCAGGTACCGTTCTCTTCTGTTCTTTGCTGATAAACCACTCTAATTCTTCCTTCGACCTGACAAATGAAACATTAATAAAATTAAAGGGGAAGTCAAGTCCGTTCTGCGCATCGGTTCTGCTCATAACAATGTGAGGACCTCTAATGTGAACATTGCCCAAATTTCGAATGTTTCGAATTTTTCTGAACATAAACTCTATTTCATATTCATTTAGAAGCGTAGCGAACCAAAATAGTGTTAGTTTATATTCAGACAGTATATCATATTTTAAAAAAATACAGCAGTTCAAAATGTAAACAAACCGTTTGTTTACATTACGGACTTGACTTCCCCTTTAATCAGACATGTACCAATGAATCCTGCTCAATGGCAATGCGCTATGATGCGCCCTGCCATATTATATTCTACTCTGTCTAATGCCAAACGATTTTACTCGTCAAGGGGAGAGTGTAGCCACTCAATGGGTTAATCAGACTATCTGCCAATGTAACTCATGCCTCCTATCAAATACATAAATGTGCACAAAATAACAGACAGTGTTTTCTGATGAACTTTATAAAACATAGTATTATGGTACATTTCATAAATGTGTTAATTTGTATAGGTTATTTTGAGGCTACGAGGGGATAGGTGAATAAACACATATCCCCGAGGTGCCTCAAAATAACGTACTTATTTTTCACATTGCGAGGTCGCGTTAATGAGTCAGAATAGAAATAATTCTTAATGCCATATTGCCTTCGTTATGTTGTTTTTTCTCATTTTTTGTGCTGGGAAGACATTACAGGTGAATATTAGAGGGGATTATTAAACGGAAATTGATTAGAGGGGAATATTGAATATATTCCCCGACAAGAACAAAGGAAACCGAGCAGGGTGAAAAATAAGGCAAGTTATGCTTGAATTTCAAGTTCAACAAACCTTGGGTGAGATGGTACAGTGGCGTCTCTCTATGACGGCAAGTTCTTCATGCAGAGAGCCTGGTTCTAAACTATATAGAAATTTGAATACACAAAAAATTAGCATTATGAAAACGTTTATGACATGTTAAGACGTGGTGGTTTTCCACAATCGGAATAATGAATAATTCATGAGAGGCAAACAAGGAAATCACGGCTGTGACGGAACTGAATATGTGATCTCAAATAGCACAGAATTTCGTCAACTTTAAACTTAAATTTCTCTTACTTCATTTGTGAATTCGAGATGTAAAACCGCGGACTGGAAATACGTGGTCAACAACTTGTCAACAAGATGTTTTCGCAACAAGCTTGTAGCAAACTTGTCAACAAGTTGTAACAATGCTGTTATTCTATCAAGTTGTTCTTTAGAAGTTGTTGAATTGCAGGACGATAACAAGTTGTTGGGACAACTTGTAACAAGTCTGTTGAGATTAGAGTGGATCGATATACCGGATATACCCGGTATTTGTTTAGATACCGGTTTGGCGATATTGACAATTTAAAAGTACGGATATACCGACATTTCTGTATTTTGCTGCCTAATACCGAATTGAAATGCTATTTAAGTCAAACTTGCTTACAATCACGTTTAGAAAGCAAAGTTAATACTCACAGATTCAACTTCGACGCCCAATCAACGGCGTACTAATAATTGCCGCTTATAGCGCCGTTAACATAGCTTGATAATGCGAATCTTGTGACATTTGCACTAATAACAGTGTGTGCCACATTAATATTTTGTCAAAACTTGATTTTTCTCGACGGTCAGCAGTTCACTTTGGCTTAAAAAAACATGTTAAAAATACCGGTATTTACCGGTATTCTGCATGATGGCGGTATATCGGTATTTGCGATATCGATCCACTCTAGTTGAGATCAGCAACCTTGTAGCAAGTTGTCAACAAGCCATTGTCAACAGTTAGTTCAGACACAATAAAGACCCATAAAGAATATAACAATTTTAAAGAGTAAAATTTTAATACTCACCATGTAATCGACTGCCTGTGACCAGAACGACACATCTGCAAACCCTTGACAATATTGCACGAAACAAAATGATTTCGAACTATTGTTGGTAAAATAGAGCCTTCTTCCTCGTTTACCAATACTTCACAATCTTTAAAAACATCATAGCCATCTTTACCGTGACTTATATAACCTTTAGTACAAAGTTTGTACTTCTATAAACAATAAAAACAAATCATGATATTTGCTGTGTTGGTGTAATGTACTCAGGTGAATAAGATGCTAGTGATGTTACTCTGAGTGTATATCCACACCGGGCAAGCTTGAAAAATATGCCTGGCCACGGTGGGGATCGAACCTACGACCTTTGGAATACTAGCCCAATGCTCTGCCAACTGAGCTACGCGGTCAGGTCGGTTCGAGTATGTAATATTTCGGAACTAAGTCTAGTTCCTTCGATATCAGTGTAATCTAATAATCATGATATTTGCTATGTTGGTGTAATGTACTCACGTGAATAAGACAAATCATTAACTGTGTGATTTACGGTCCAGAGTTTTATAATAATTTTACATTTTGTATATCGATATAATATTTCTATATACTGTAGACATGCGTTAGCTATATAATTCGTTTCATTTCATTACAAGTTCTAAACTGAGGGTATTGGCATAGAAAGTACTAAACTCTGACTGACAGAAACAAATAGTCATTTACTAACCCGTTCCAATTCTAATTTTTTCCCTCCAACTTTTACGCTCTTTTCGATAACCCGCTGATCAGGATCCATATCAGGATCGAAGGCGAAAGTCACACCAGACACCTAAATGGGTTACAGTACGGAACAATGTTCTTTGTATGATTAAATGGTTTAACTAGCTATAAATGAAGAATTTGTGGTAAAACCAATTTTCCGAGGTAGATGCACGCGGTGTAGTGGATGAAAAATATTTTTGCTAAACAAAAATGTACCTGAGGGAACCGGCCTTCGAGTCTTGGCCATTGGCTAACACCATTGTTGAGAGCGATTAACAGTTGAGCTCCTGAATAAGGAAAAGAATGAACATTATCTTCTCACTCTGATAATTGCAGGTTGACCACCATCAGCTGCACGATAGTACGTGCTTAGTGAAATTCATCAACAACACAACGTAACTAGCACTCAAATAATCTTTCACAAATCGAATGCTGGTTGTGCAGCGGTAGTCAAATTTAGGTTCTCTTTTCAATTTCAAAATGACAATCTGTGTAAAAGCTAGTATATAGTAAGTTAATCTACAGTATGTACACATAGTTAATAGAGGAGATGGTTTGGAAACTCGTTAGCATTACAATAAAATCACAATAAACCTCATTATCTATGTTGTTCAGGTTTATGCAAAAATGTGGTCTTTCATCGTCACGTGCGTATTGTATTTTTCTCAAGTCAACCAATAAGAATGTTCAAAATGTCCTATTGTTAAAGTCATGGATGGGCAATTGGACAAAACCGTTGCTATTGGCTGGTTGAGCAAAAATACAATACGCACGTGACGATGAAAGACCACATTTTTGCATAAACCTGAACAAAAACATAGATAGTGAGGTTTATTGTAATGCTAATAAGTTTCCAAACCATCTCCTCTATTAACTATGATGTACAGTACCTGTAATCCTAAGAACAACCACAGCATCAGGCATAGGAAGAATGCTGACCAAATCCTGAATAAAAAACATAATTGAAAAGAATTCAACCGTGTTCTGACTAGATGTGCTTAAATAGAGTTGTGGTTGATTCTCTCTTGTGCTTCGACAGCTTTCTCCCGGCACTCTGATTCTCCTTGCTCAACAAAATGCCAAAAACTAACTCTTCCACGGTTTGTGTGGTGGCAGCCAGAGGCGTCGGCTAGTAAACCTTCAACTCATTGCCGGATTTTGAGGGGAGGTGTGAGGAGGTGCACACCTCCCCTGAGGTCGTTTTGCACCTCCCCTGAGAATTTTTGCACCTCCCCTGAAAAGTCATGCACCTCCCCTTGGGAAAGTTTCAATGATAGATCAAAGTGAAAATTTGACATTTTTTGGTTGCTTAGGGTCTACACTTCGTAAGAAAAGTTTTTCTGTAAAATTGAAACAGTGATAGCCATTCATCTCTGTGTAATGTTTTGAAAGAAACTTTGTACATTCATAATTCATCAGAGTTGTACAGTCATAATTCATTAATACACTGATCACATAATGATATGTACACTATACGCATACGTCAACTTTCCACGGGGGTCGTGAGCTAGACCGCTGCACCTCCCCTAATTTTTCCACCTCCCCCACTATTTCCACCAAAATCCGGCCTTGCTTCAACTATGTCATGTTTGAGCTACATGTACTTCCTTCCCAATTCAGCTCTCTGATGCAAGAACCGATAATTATTACTCTCTATCATAGAATAAAGACACAAAATGCTGACGCCATAGCCTGCTCAGCAGCCCCCACAGCAGGCTACTGACGTCATGGTCCTAGCCAGTGCGCTTATGAGAGGTACCCCCCCCTGGACGTCCGCCATTTTCAATATTATCAGGGGGGTGAATGCCTCTCATAAGTGCACTGGCTAGGATCATGGCGTCAGTATTTTGATGACGAATTACGGTTACGCCAAAATCATAGGAAAAACCAAGAAGTTGGGCTTCTGTATGGTCTCTATTCTGTGCCTCTATCTTCACTCTTGCGCTGTATCAGTTTATCATACAAGCCATATAGGACTGCATCTGCTGCTGTGCCTGAGATATTTGCCAGATCATACTTACTTTCATTTTAAATTCTCCTGGGGAATGTATCGTATCGGATCTCAGAGTACCGGAGTTAACCAAACTCACATCAGCCTGAGTGACATTACGAGTTATATCCGCGATTAGATTACCTGAAAACAAGTAAAAAATCATTAAGTGCATAAGGTGTTTGGCTTAAACCTACACCAACCAGCAATTTAATTTACCTAGGTTAGTTTCCTGAGTTCTAATTTTTCCAAAACGACCATCGAGTTCTACTTCAATATTTCCAAGTACGCCTTCCATTTTCTCTTTAACTATATCTGTAGAAGAAACAATATATTTCCAAAACTCATTATTACAAATTCATTAAAAAATCATGAGCAAAACACAAAAGATATCCTTGTCTTGAGACTGTGTTCATATAATTAATAATCCAAAGTTCGCGATAAATTTCTCTATAACAACTGGATTGTGTGAGAGTTATTATAAGAAGAGTATACCTAAATACTTATCCACAACGACTTTTATTTCTGGATTTTCTGGAACATCTTTTGTTATTTCATGTTTCTTAGATTGTATTTCATAGGAATCGTCATTTGAGGAAAAAACTACTTCAATCTCGCTAAAATTTCTAAAATCTGTTCCACTCTTAAATATTTTTGTCCCTTTAACCTGTAAATAGAAACACAAGCGAAACTGCTTAAAAATTGCTTGCATGTATTGTGATGGCACAGCTAGTACACGGCTAAAAACGATCAGGTTGTTGCAATGTTGATGAAAACAGGATTGAACAATGTTTTGCTGCCCACATTGTTCACAGTTGTCAACAACATTGAACAATATAGTTACACCCGATTCAGGCTCAATTATATTGTTCAATATTGTTGACAAATGTGAACAGCGTGGGCAGCAAAACATTGTTCAATCCTGTTAAACAGCGGACTCAGCGTTTTTATGCGTGTAGTCAGTGGAAGTTCCTAATTACGTCTGCAGATTGATTCTTGTAATATGCTGTTGTCTGAACATAATCTTGGCACAGTCATATGCGAGAAGAATGCTTAGACCACTGTAGAAAAAAGTTTTCTCTGGGTACTGTGGTTCCTCCTGTAGTAACACTGAACCACTATGGAATAGCCTGCTCGCAGCCCGAAATTTCGTTTAAAGGAAAACTTTCCGTTTCAAATTTTTGGGTGGGGGCTGCGAGCAGGTTACCATGGAATGGTCCATGCTGGAGCTCTATAGGTAAAACAGTCTAGAACTTTGGGCCTTCGCTCGAAACATCGAAATGTCTCCTTATATTCTTCAGGTAGTTGCATCCCTACTGACGAAAAAGTGTAGCTTCAGTTCTCTTGTAGCCTGTTCGCAGGAGCAGGCTAGCTCTCTTGAAGACATAACTTTACCTCTAGTTACATCTGCCTGACATCTACTCCTCTTCCAAGAGGGAAATGGGGTGAAAATAACAGCAAGGGCCCCAGGGGGGCAAATAGTGCAATTAGCTTCCTTTCACAATACCTCACGTATTTCATAATGATGATCATGTCCTCCAAGTATCAAGTCAATCTCAGAAACATTCTCTGCTAACTTTATATCATTTGGCTCTCTCATGTGAGTTAGAGCAATTATAAAATCACAGCCCTAAGGTAGAACAAGTATATAGTTAAGTGTATTTTAAACTGAAAGATTTGAATGTGCACAGTCTGTTTCAGTTGGTTGATTGGTTTGTCAGTCGGTCAGCCAGCAGGAATGGTGGACAGTTTTCGAAATATGAGAGGGGGGGGGGGGCAATCAGGTTGCCAAAATATGATCACCTTCTCTAACTGGAAATCTTTGTCCTTTAACTTACCAGAGTATTGTTCAAGGCCTTTAGACCCCCAAAACACACAAAAACCTTTTTTGCTTCAAATTTCATGCAATATATGGCTTTATAGTTCATATCCCATCAATGCTTTCATTGTTACAGCTTTGTTACACAGTTATTCAGCTTTCATTCAAAGACTTTCAGAAATTATTAGGGGGTCCAGTCTGCCAATCAGTAGGTCAATCAATTGTCTTAAAATTGGCGAGTTGTTCAACCAGCTAGCCAGTCGGTAGGTCCTTTACCTCCTGTCTTAGTTGGGAACACAACCTCCGACCTTCGGTTATAAAATCCAGGTAGTCCACTTCATCTATCGCAACAGTTGCTAAGGTAACAAGCCATTCTCTTTCAACCAATCCAATCAATCCAATCTGTTAATATTTAACCGACTATTAAATTTAATAATTATTAAAATTAATAATAAAAATTATTAATGATAATTGATTATTTAAATAATATTAAATCAATTATTATAAAGCATAACAGAACCACATTTGTTTTGACCATAACCTTATGTCCATTCCACTCCAGTGTCAAGGACACCCTGCCCTCGGCCAGTGGTCGTTTTGTATGCTTATCAAAAACATTGCTCATCAGCCAAGGGAAGTTGCTTTCATTTGCAAAGTCGACTAACTCATCAACACCAAAATCTGTATCAATAATCAATTAAAATACTGTAGTCACAATCTGTCACACACTGTTGTTTGTACCTAAGGATGAATACTGAATAAGATAACAACAGAGACGGATTTTCATATTTTCGTTCGGGGGGTGGATAAATATCTGGGGGGTGCTGCTGCTTGCTTTGGCAGGGGCATGGTGGCAACACCCGGAAAGGCCAAGGAAAAAGTTTAACAAAATTTGTTTTCTATGCCTGCATGGCGAGATCTGAGACCATAATATTGGTAATTTTACAGATTTAGTAGTAAGCAGGGCTCGAATTTTATCGCGGCAATTGCCGTAGAGGGAGAACAAAATGCTGTGGATCATTGCAGCAACGACGGCAATTTTTTGCCGTATAGTGCAATTTTTATACTATTCACTGTGCATTACTATTTTGAATTTTTGATACTTGAATTCAGATGTTGATCAAATAATGCGTTTTAGTCTCAGTTTTCTTCGAAGAAATACGTAGACATGTTTCTAGGTTGTTTCTAACCAAAGTAACAATAACATTAAAGTTTTTACAGTAATTTGAAAATGCCGTGGAAACTGCCAAAATTGCCGTAGACAGCTGTTACGTTCTACGGCAATTTTTAGCACCATTGCCGTCGATTGATTTCAGGGAAATTCGAGGCCTGGTAGTAATAATAATCAAATATGAAACTATCAAATCAAAATATATATAATTTGCGGGGGTGCAAAAACTTTTGGGGTGGTGCCAAATGCCTCTGGGGGGGGGGGGTGTGCCAATCATTTCTGGGGGGTGCGCACCCCCCTCCCCCCGCACACACACACACCCAGAAAATCCATGCCTGGATAACAACTAGATTGTCTATTCTTATAAATTACCTAAACTTTCTATTCTCATCTTTCTAATTGTTATAAGACTGGATAAACAAGGTTGGCTAGTCAAATTATAACCCATCAGAATGATCTTGACAAACATTAATAACCCTTTATGTGGCAATACTGTTTTACTCTGTCTAACACCAGACAATTTCACTTGTCAAGAGGAAAGTGCTGCCACTCAATGGGTTAATGAGACTATCTGAGCATGTATCCTGTTAATGTTTCATTTTAGAAAAGACAATGGATTCAACAACCTGCAACTGTTTACCTTTCATTACAAATTATAGTACATGTATTATGAAAAAGCTTAGATAATTTTACTCAAATAAATTCAAGTTACTCATTACATACCAAAGTCATGGTTCCCATACACTGCCGCTTTAATCCCAAGACAGTTTAAAACTGGTAACATTTGTTCTCCTTTTGTGATACTGCTCACTTAAGAATAACAAAACCATTTTAAGTATTTAAAAATTTAATGACTATTCTTGGGTTTCACTATGGCATTATGCAGTGAATCTGATGGGGGGGGGGGTTAACCTCAAATGTATTGATGCTTGTGCTGTACTGGAGTGAGAAAATGATACGAAATTCCATGTATTAATTGTATTTGTCACCAAACATAAGGCTAATACATAAAACAAGCAATCGACTCATTCTGATAACTGTGTTTTGTTTTAGAGTTGACCCCCCGTCACATTTGTGACGTCATATGAAACCCAAGAATTAATTGATTTTATTGGTTGATTAAACTGAATAACCCACCAACCAATGGGAAAAAATTGATTGACAGATTTATGGTAGGATTAGGTCTACAAGTGAATGGATGAACAAATTAAGATCAGTACTAATACCGAAAAGATATTTTGTTTGATAATCTGCCTTCCAGTGTGGAAAGTTTGTATCGTGCAACCGAGATATCGGGAATTTTGATGCTTTCTATATATTTTAAAATACCATTACATGTAAATTTTTGAAATCTCAGTTGCTCAATTTCCAAACTTTCCAGTCAGGCTCGCCTGGCATAAACACAACAAATTTATATATCATCCGTCAAGATGAACTATCTACATATTCATCTATACAGACGAACAATGATGCAAAAAGACAATATATAATTATAATCTTGAATTTATATTTTATATTTAACTTATTAACAATATTATTAATTACTCACTCATTGATGGATTCAAAGCATCTCCACTAAACAGTACAAGAGGATTTCTTGATTGAAAAGTTGCTATTTTTGAAGCAAACCTTGCTGCTCCACCGACTGGCTCTTTTTCTCGTGGCTCGATATTGTACACATCATTGAAATGTAAAATAAGAATTTTATCAGCTCCGCTACTTAAAACTGTTTCACCGTTCAAATCCATATTTGTCAAATTCTGCGAAACGCCATCGTTTTCATGACCTATTTCGGTAGTTTTATCCAAATTGGTTAAAGTGACTGGATTACTTTGCTCCAAAATAGCTTGATCGTTAATTTTAGCAAAAGTGTTCAAGTTGTTGCCATTTTCGTCTTCGGCCACCGGCACAACTGGCCGTTCGACGTCTTGCCGGTGGCTGCATATCAAAGTGGGAGGGTTCCGGTCACATCCTTCGTTTTCGCCTTTATTATCTTTTTGTGAAGTATCTTTTTCTGCATTTTCCACACGCTTACTTGCTGCACAGCCCATATTTATGGGCGCAAAATTTTTATTTCAATTTTCAAAAGCATATCTGGTTGCTTGTTTACGTTTTGTTACATTTGAAGACTCGAGCGGAAATTAATCCGACCGGAAAAAACACCCCAGTTAGCAGAAGAATTTCAACATGGAACAGCAGGCATTGAACTAAAGTAAACTGGAACGCGTTTACTTATAGTTCAATGACAGCAGATCAACTTCCTTTTTTCTTTTTTTTCCAATACCGAATCTTGCAATCCAGTAGTCTTGCAAATTTATTTGGTTGCAGATGAATACAATTGAGAGATGTGGTTTAATTAATTTGCTTGCTTCTACAAATGAAGTTGACTGCCGCCCTACGAGAACACCCTATTTTGATGCACACGCTTGCTAAACCCAAATTTACAGTGGATTTAATGGATCAAAACCGTGCATGGGGTAAAGCAAAGTTACTGCCTTCCTAAAGTCATGAAGTTAGAATAACTGTCGCCCACCAAAGTTGATGGTAATTCATATTTCCCGTATTCGTAAACGTGTCAATGACAATGGCGTACGTGGGCTAGGATAAAATGCAATTAAATTATTTATGCAATTTTTATTACCATGCATATGCAAACCCTACTTATCCAATCCAATTGTGACAGCCTTTTGAATATGTTCGGGCTAGATATTATACACCTGATGCATGAAAAATCAATTAACCTTCACTATAAACCCTTAACAATTGGCAGTCACAAACATAACAATATTTAAAGGCTATTTAAATCCTCTAGTTGAACTCTCAATAAATCAATTAAAATACAACTATCTGTACATTTAGCATATACCTATTTCTATGCATATACCTCACATTTTTGCTACAGCTCACCAAAAATAATATAACACCCATATTTACACTATCTTTATATAATAATATATATATGTACTGTATATAGCAATTCTGATATTTTGAAGAGTTTAACAGCATAGTGTAGAATACCAACTATACTGTAGCTTTAAATAGTTTTACATGTAACACCCCATTTCATTTCTCAAAGCAACATCAGAATGGCTTTTTGGCCTAAATGGCCCAAATTATGAGAGAGACAGATCATCCTTCAGGACAAATTTCAGCAAAGACAAGATAGATCATCTTCTGTTTATACGAAATTGTGGGAATCAGCCACACACGATGTGTCTTGAAGGATGACCAGTTTCTACTATATATAAATCAGGATAATTCCATTACCAAAACTGCGGATCCTACCTCTCGCTCGAAAAAGTGAGATGTTTTCACATCAAAACATTCAGGAATGTGCAACATGGGAATGGACATTTCTAATTGGTCTGTGAGAAATTGCATTGGCATAGCTAAAAATAGTGTCACATCTTAACAATATAGGCATAGGAATGTAGTCGTATTCCCGAATGTTTTGATATGAAAACAAGGCATAATTTTTAAATCGAGAGGAAGCATTCACACTTTTGGTAATAACATATTTACTATTTCAATCAAATATTTGATTTGCCAGTTGAAGTCGTTATGGGTATCGCTTTCATTTCTGTTTTCATGCATGCAAATTCCCCTAAAACTGATGTAATAGCAATACACACAATATTCACAATCCACCACGTCCAACTGCCAGGGATATGATGTAGATATAACATACAGAAAACCAAATGAATTGTTGTTGCTGTTGCCGCAAAGTCAAGACACTGAAAATCAATATAACAAACTTGGGTTGAATTCAAGCTACAACACTTCAGTGGCATATCCAAGAGGGGGGACTAGGCAGGATGAATCCCCCACCCCCAGTCTCATTTAGGACCACCTTATAAAGGAAAGATGCTTAAATCTGTTGACAATGGGGGGGGGGGGCAGGGATGTGTGCACAATATAATGTCTAACTTATACAGCAAATTTGTCACAACTCTAATAAACAACACCTTGTTTATTGTTTTTCTAAGAAATTCTTATGGACAATTTTTCATTTAGCTAGGAAATTTTATTGCATTTCCAGGGCTCTAAGAGGCCTGAGATGTAAAAACTTCTCTGGGGAGCATGCTCTCAGACCCCCCTAGCAGGCTCATGCCTACAGCATTCACAGCACCCAACAATACCTTGACTATGTCATATTTCTATGTCATACTATACACTGTTTCGCTTGCTATGCCAATGCTACACTTAACTAACTTTACATAAGTATGAAGTATAAACTTGATAAGCAAGACAAACCTGTTTTGCTCTACCAACAATGTACCAGAGTCCAATAGCACTGCAGGAAATCAAAAATATATGTTCTTAAGTTAACAAGAATATTTTGTTATTATTTTCCAAACAATTAATGACTGATGTTTTTGATATATTTTTATTAACATAAACACAGGTGTTTCACAAACATCTCTTTAGGGCATGAAACATTTATCCCACCATTATAAAGTTCAATCTTCTTTTTGGCTCTGATCCCTAAATCAAGCAATGGCTATCTATAAGTAAATGGCTATCTTTCTGGATGGTTCATCTCATATTGTGTTAATTTTAATAAAATTAAACACAAAGATGGAAAATCCATCAAGAAAAACTACACATGCAAGTTTGTCTGTGTATTTGAACTAGATAACCCATTTGTAAACTGTGTTTATAGACAGGTGAATGATCAGATGAACTATCTTAACTTCTTTGCCCAAATTCGTCCAGACATATCGTCTCTCTCTACCATATATTCATCAGCCCATTGATATAATTAATACTCACCAAAATAAAGAATTAAGTATAAAAGCTATAGCACCAAGTCGTCCTCTAGTAGTTGAATAATCTACTGCCTAAAGAAATACAACTTAAAGCCATTTATACAAAAAACATTGAGACTCAATCAAATATGCTGACACATGTAGACGCATTGTCACAGATTATGTCACGCATTGACTTAACACGTTTTGATGGCAGGCAAATTCTGATTGTAGAAAACTTCTATAAAACATCTTCTTCGTCAAAATTGTTCTCCTAATACCACAACAAAGAAGCTCTCAAAGTAGCGTTTCAAAAACGTTTGCCTGCCAGCAAAATGTGACTTGGCAAATATACATTTCTGACCTTATCAGAAAAGATCTGATGTAGCGAGTGAACCGATCCCATCCAAAAATCAAATATTAATATCCATACGCCAAGACCAACATAATATGTACACTGTATTGCGATTATTTGGCTTACTATTAACACAGGATCCCATAAATTTGAACGAAACTGTGCGGCCATCTTGAATAATTTGGCAGAGTACCCGATTCGTACCTTGATTTTTGCCGAATGTCGAGTACCACTTCCTGTCACGCAAAAATTATCGCCTATTTATTGTGCAACTCGATATAAACCAATCAGGTTTCAAGAAATTCAACCAATTGCAACGACCAAAAAATCCTTCATTCGGCCAATTGTAAAGCTAAAAAACTAGCCAATAACAACTCAGCTCAATTATAGTTAACCAATAATAACTAAGCATTGCGTAGCATAGCATTTTGGCTCATTTGATTAAATTAATTTTTTTCTTTCTTTGAAATTCAGTTTTTGAGGAAATTTATTTTAATTTTGGCCAGTTTTCGATCCGTACTTTGTTAATTAATGGACTCTAATCTTGCGTTTGCAATATCTTTTTTATTTATCTGATAATTACTTTATACACTATGTATATAATAACTATAAAAATATATACATACTATTCACGTACTGTTTTAATCTTGTTACTTCAATAAATAACATTAAATATAAAGTATAATATTGTATATTACTCAATTATGATTTGTGCTGTATGCTTGTTACAAATATCGAAATAAATTTATTCAATTCTAATTTGATAAATAAACTTGTAAACAAATAATTATAATAGACCATATTATATAATACCTTATTGATTCTGATTGTGTAATTGGCTGTTTATGGTCACGTGATATTGAATAGAAAATTCCATTTCCCAAGAGTGCAATGGAATGCATTCCATTGCACTCTTGCGAGTGCAATTGTACTATACATTTTGTTCCATTGCACTCTTTGTGTTTTCGATAAATCGCATCCGTCAAAATGCTTCTCGTACGGTGATCGCAGTTTATTTTAACCCGATATTCGAAACTCAGTAAATGGGATTTAATGCAAATACGACTCCTCAAAATGGTGAAAGCTTACAGTAAACCTTTTAATATTAGTCTATTTTGGTATTATATAAAACAAATAATGAATGTTTTTATTCGTGCAATGGTAAGAATATTTTCATTCGGTGAAAGATGGAATGTTCCATTCAACTCGGCTGTCGCCTCGTTGAATGGAACATTCCATCTTTCACCTCATGAAAATATTCTTACCATTGCACTCATAAACATTCATTATTTGTATAATATATACTAGCTATAAGTAAAATGTGAATATACGGTAAATTTCAATCAATGTAGTCCAACCTCTTAAATTTATTCGAAACATTTCCTGTAATTGGTGCTTGGTATAAAAATGGTACGGGTACCAAAAATTGAGGATAAGGGTAAAAATCTCACCAAGTGTGTCAACCGATACTTGTTACAAACAGCCTGTATTACTGTATTAGGGGGTGGGTGGGGAGGTGTAATTCAAAATTTTAAGGAATGAAATTTTGTGACCCTGCTTTGCCATAACCCGGAAAAATAATGCCCCCCCCCCCCCTCTCTTATGTGAGAAGAACAAAATGTGAGAAGACATGTATAAAACAATTAATTGATCTAAAACAGCAGACCCCCTCCTCACCTTCATAAACTGTCTAATATTTTATGAACACCCCTTTTTCCTGGCTAAAAAATATGTGACCCCCCCCCACTGTTTCCACCTCCCCACCCCTCCTGCTAAATTATGACCAGTCCCTTACATCACATTATTATTTAGCTCACTCCCCATGGGGCTTTTCAGTGACCGATTACATCAAGTACTACTCTTGCTCATGTGACTTACTTAGCCTAGACTATTTATCTTTCAATCGTGATATTACTTTCCTAACTATGTTTATGCTAACCCACCCTGTCAACTTGCCCTGTGGGAGGAAACCAGAGCACCCGGAGAAAACCCACGACTTTCGGCAGAGCGTTGACTGACTCTTTTCACATGAGTCCGTAACGAGAATCCAACCCACGATCTCAGAGGTGAAAAACGCTTGCTCTGATGACTGAGCCACCAAAGTTCAAGAATGGAACAAAGAGTCACGTGAACTTGAAAGCTGCTAATGTTTTTAAATATCGTGACCGCGCTCTCATATTAGAGATCTCAGTCACACACAAGATATGAGGTGGCTGATTTTAAGCGGAAAGATTGAATTAATCGGGGATTCTATATATTTCCGTGTGTTAAAATATACTTTTTCACAGTGGGGTTTATACTGAAGAAAATGATTTTTGATGATTGCTAGTAATGTATGTTCTCCAAAAAATAGACTACATGATCAAATAGGAATTTCTACTAGAAGTGTTTTCTTGGTAAATGTAAAATAATAATTCGGTTGCATCATTGCATGGATCACACCGCCATGCGTCAGTAAATTAGCTAGAATTCAAGTAGGCGCAACTTTTGTTATGCGAAAACATATGTTGGGATATATATCAGCATATCAACGACTGTTTTAATGAGTGTTTGAATAAGAGTTACTCTCTTTCAAACACTCATTAAAACAGTCGCTCAGTTATAATTTCATTTAGGGACATATAGTCACTAAATATACAAATGAGGAAATGAAAGAACATTGACTGCATCCTGACTCTAAAATAGCAACACTAACCGTTACTTAACTTTATTGTATTCAAAGACTTGAGTGACGGGTAAAGTTCAGAGTCGTTTCAGTGTCACGCTTCAGTCAATGTTATCTAGTTTCTGGCGTTTGTATATTTACAGTGCCTAGAGGATCTGAAAAGAGTTTTAATTGTGTGTGATGCAATGCAGCAACATGACACAACCTATGTAAATAGAGGCCATAAATCGCTACAATGTTGATATTGACTAAAACGTTAACAATCGTTCGGAATTATGAACTGAATCGTTCGGAAAGGTATATCCATATTTATTCATCTATCAATGAACCCACATCCGCCTCCCGAAATGTTTTCCGCCCTAACTAAAATGGCTTATTTGAGGTTAAAATTAACCGAAGGAAAAACCTTTAATTTAAAGTATTCGCCGTTCTTCAAATGCCTGTACTTGGAACCTCTTGACGCAAAACATACATTTTCTCGCAAAAGAGGACCGCTCTTGAATAAGCTCCCCCTATTCACAGTTCAAGAACAAATACAGTAAATTTCAATCCTTGATAAACTTCAGAAATTTGTTTTAACTCCAGCATTACAATGTTTTAAAGATGATATTGGTATATTTCAATGCCTCCCGTTCAATTCTGGATCTTTTTTCAAAACTTAGAAAATGCGCGGCTGACGCATTCAAACTAAATTTCAAGATGTACCCATCTGTTGGACAGTCTGAATGATAAATGGCAAAAGAAGAGGGAAGGATCGATAGAGATTCTTGTTCGTTTATTCGGTATGATTTTGAAATAGTTTGTTCATTTTCAAATAATAAAAGCTTTAACATTTCGCACCGAAGTTTCCAAGAAAAGGCCAAGTATAAACAATTTTGTGATCATAACTATAAAATATTGTTTAAGTCCAAAGATCAAAGGTGTGCTTTTAGCCAGATCTAATTATGTATTCAGTTCCTCGTTTATTGCTTTATGAATATGCATATGTACGCCATGTGTGCATGCTTATAAAATACTGTGTCTTAAGCCGTTGGATTATAATACAAGCCGACCTCTCGTAGACTGAGTAACGAACTCCATAATTATCAAGAAGTCGATCTTCACTGGCAGAAAATTAATTGCTACATTTCAACAGATTATAATAAAGAAAGGAATTATTATTGGATATTATCCAAGTAAGTAAATTTTAATCTTTATTGTTCTTGACGAATTTAGAATTTTATTTTTCAGTTGTTCGGACGCGTTGCGGATTAGCGCGCAACGGAGTATACAGTATAGTTAATGCCATAAGAATGTAAATGTTAAAGTATATTTAGTAAGATAAAAATTTACACAATAAATTTTACATCAGCGCCTTATACTATAGTGTCCAGTTAACAAATTAAAAATATTACATATGCGTATATACTGTTGTGAATGCAAATTATAGGATTGTCAGCGCAAGCACCTTTCACCTCTGAGATCGTGCGTTTGATTCTGAGTGCGCTTCCAATGATACTTATTCTCGGAAAATTCAGCCGCTCTACCGTGAAAGTCGTTGGTTCTCTCCGGGTACTCCGGTCCTCCCCCCCCCCCCCACGGGGAATGTTGACAGGATGGGTTGGATCATCCCTAACTGAATTGTCTCTTCCACCGTGACTGTGCTCATTAATCAGACATGAATCATAACGTGTCTCCCAGAGGTGCTTTTAGAAACGCCTCTTCTTACCTCACAGCCGCAGGTATAATAATGATTAACATACACCAACTTACTTACTATAGTTGTGGGGCCATTGCAATGAAATATAGAATACGTCAGTATTTACACAATATTTTAATGAGTGTTTAAGGCCCCGTTTACACTATACCGGATTACTTTTCATACCGGATTAATTTTTACTCCGAAGTAAAATAACAAGGGTGTTTACACTATGCCGCTTCGCTCTGTTGCCAGCTCATGTCTTTCACTGTCGCCATGGAAGTAACAAGTCACAAGTAACCAATATACCAAAATTTATTAAAAACAAGAAGTAACACACGTTTTCTTTGTAAAGTATAACTTTATTTAAAAAGCTTGACCACCAGACGTTGCTTCGTTTCGCTCTCATCCAAAATTGACGAGTATTTCTTTAAATTTTGCTCTTTCGAAAGCGAAAAGTCAATGTTATTATCATTTTCTTTATTTGTCTTCGGCAGAAATAGTAAATGATTGTAAGGCGAAACAAACAACAGCTATAACGTATTGTAAAAGCGAGCAAATAAAGGCGACAATGTTAAAACATACACGCCAAAACCGATTTTGTACCGAAGCGTACCGGACTGGCCTGTTTATACTGCTCCGGCACATACCAGATTAATTACTTTTCATATCACCTCCAAAGCGGAGTGATCTTTGCTCCGCGTCGCGTACCGGATTACTGTGGCGTAGTGTAAACAGCAGCCGAATCCGGTATGAAAATCGCTACGCTCCGATGCAATCCGGTATAGTGTAAACGGGGCCTAAGAAAGAGTTATGATTTCATTTAATGACATAGTCACTAAATATACAAATGAAACAAATTAAATAACATTGACTGCAGCCTGACCCTGAAGCAACATGAACATTATATACCGTCAGTTAGAGTTCAGAGTTATTTCAGTGTCACGCTTCAGTCAATGTTATCTAGTTTCTGGCGTTTGCATATTTACAGTGCCTAGAGGATCTGAAAAGAGTTTTAATTGTGTATGATGCAATGCAGCAACATGACACAACCTATGTTTCAACTATGCTATTTTGTTTTCAGGTTTCAACTATGCTATTACAAACTAATAGCATGGCTTTTCGGGAGATTAGTGATTAAATGACCCCTTACCCTCGGCAGGTTTGCGGAATTCCCTCGGGCTTCGCCCTCGGGAATTCCGCAAACCTGCCTCGGGTTACGGGGTCATTTAATCACTAATCTCCCTCAAGCCATGCTATTACTTATAATAAATAGAGGCTATAAATCGCTACAATGTTGATATTGACTAAAACAATAGTTCGGAATTAGGAGATATTCTTCCATATAGCATGAACTGATCGTTCGGAGAGGTATCGATCTATTCATCTATCAATGAACCCACGATTCAAATTTTAGTCCGCCTCCCTAAATGTTTTCCGCCCTAACTAAGATGGCATATTTGAGGTTAAAATTAACCGAAGGAAAAATCCATTAATTTAAAGTATACACCGTTCTTCAAATATCCACTTGGAACGTCTTGACGCGAAACATATGTTTTCTCACAAAAGAGCACCGCTTTTGAATAAGCTCCGCCCTATTCACAGTTCGAGAACAACTACAGTAAATTTTAATCCTTGATAAACTTCAGAAATTTGTTCCAACTCCAGCATTACAATGTTTTAAAGTTGATATTGGTATATTTCAATACTCTCCCGTTCAATTCGAGATCTTTTTTCAAAACTTAGAAAATGCGCGGCTGACGCATGCAAACTGAATTTCAAGATGTACCCATCTGTTGGACAGCCTGAACGATAAAAGGCCAAAGAAGAGGGAAGATTCTTGTTTGTCTATTCAATATGATTTAACTTGAAATAATTTGTTCATTCCGAAATAATAAAAGCTTTAACATTTCGCACCGAAGTTTCCAAGCAAAGGCCAAGTAAACAATTTTTTGATCAAAACTAAAATATTGTTTAAGTCCAAAGATCAAAGGTATGCCTTTAGCCAGATCTAATTATGAATTCAGTTTCTCGTTCATTCCTTTAATAATATGCATATATACGAGATGTGTACTTAAAATACCGAGTCTAAAGCCGTTGGATTATAGTACAGGCCGGCCTCTCGTGGAGTGAGCAGCGAACTCTTTAATTATCAAGAGGTCGATCTTCACTGGCGGAAAATTAATTGTTACATTTCAACAAATTATAATAAAGAAAGGAATTATTATTGGATATTATTAAAGTAAGTCAATTTTAATCTTTATTGTTCTTGACAAATTTAGAATTTTATTTGGAACCTGTTCGGACGCGTATGCGG